TTCTACAATCTATTCTATTCTATCCCTTATTCTATTCTATTCTATTCTATTCTATTCTATTCTATTCTATTCTATTCTATCCCTTATTCTATTCTGTCCCTTATTCTATTCTATTCTATTCTATTCTATTCTATTCTATTCTATTCTATTCTATTCTATTCTATTCTATTCTATTCTATTCCTATCTTGTTCTATTTACTTGATGGGCTCCGTAACCTTCGGAGTTCCCCAGGCCTACTGGCCAAACCAGGGCTTCAGGGCTTGTAGAAAGATTATCAAGGTGGGATGCAAGCCTATCCCTACACGAATGACATTCCACAAGGATGGGGCCACCCCAGAGAAGGCTCTTCTTCTTTCCCACCAGATGGAGCACTTTCGGGGGGGAGGGAACTGTAGCATCCCTGCCTCCCTGTTCTGGTGGGTCAGGGTAGATGTAATCAGAAAAGGTGGTCCTTCAAATAACCTGGCCTGAAGCTACGGAGAACTTTGAAGGTGACAACCAGCACCTGGGATTGTGCCCAGAAGCAAATCCTGAAGCTCCTGCAGGAGAGAGGACACGTGTGAAAATCTAGACTTGCGCATAACCACGTCGACCACCGCATTTTGAACCAATTAAAGCTTCCAGATACTTTTCAAGGGATGCCCCATGTGGAGCGCATGCAGTAGTCAACTTCAACCCTGGTTTCCTGGAGAAAAGGCAAAAAATACTTCAAAGAAATAGGAGGAAATGAGCAATTCAGAAGGGAATGGATGTTTGACAGCTTTTGTAAAATAAAATCTACAGTGGAAGTTAGTTATTGAACGAACCTGGATGGCTCTGAGATGGATCAGTAAGGCTGGCTAGCTCATAGTGGGATGGGAGGCCACAAGGACATCCCCAGGCCAAAACAATAACAATAAAGTTGGAAGGGACCTTGCAGGTCATCTAGTCCAACCCCCTGCTCAGGCAAGAAACTTGTTTATTTTTAAAGAAGCACTCGCCCGTAAGAAAAAACTATTCCAACTACTGCTGAAAATTACAAGATGCCCCCAAAAAATCATCAGGATCGCTGGGAGGCAGGGTGTCCGTTCTCGCTCTGAACCCCCAAATCTTCCTCTGAAAAGCTGGGGCGAGTTGGAGGGGGGGAGTTATGATTTATAGGCTGTGGGTTTTTAATGTTGTAAGCCACCCAGAGTTACGCCGTGTCTGAGTTAGGTGGCTGTAAATTTTTTACTTTGATGCAGTCTTCAACTTAACTTTAATGGAACCTGCCCGTCATAAAGCGGGTCACCCACACGACCCTTCCAATTTTGCATCCTTTCTTGTAGCGGTCCTTAAGCCAACCCTACGGCCGTTAAGCAAATCAATTTGCCACGGGGCCCTTTGGCTAAAACTCAGAAGCAATGACCAATTTTGGGAGAGAAAAAAAAAATCGTTATTGTCACGTGACCACAGGATGCTGCAAACAGCTGTAAACGCAGGCCCGTCGCTAAGCACCTGGAATGCGGTCACTGACTGCAGTGTGTGCAGTGTGTGTGCACGCGTGTGTGTTGGAACTTTGGAACTGGGTTGTAAGAATCCCTGGGGAGATATGTCCTAACTTCAAATGGTCCCTAAGCAGCTAGTTCTAAAGCAGAGGTTGTTGTTAGTTGCAAAGTCGTGTCCGACCTATCGCGACCCCATGGACCACGTTCCTCCAGGCCTTCCTGTCCTCTATCATCTTCTGGAGTCCATTGAAGCTCATGCCTACTACTTCAGTGACTCCATCCAGCCACCTCCTTCTCTGTCGTCCCCTTCTTCTCTTGCCCTCCGTCTTTCCCAGCATCAGGCTCTTCTCCAGGGAGTCCTTCCTTCTCCTTAGGTGGCCAAAGTACTTGAGTTTCCACTTCAGGATCTGGCCTTCTAAAGAGCAGTCGGGGTTGATCTCTTCTAGGACTGACCGGTTGGATCGCCTTGCAGTCCAGGGGACTCACAGGAATCTTCTCCAGCACCAGAGTTCAAAGGCCTCCATTCTTTGGCGCTCAGCCTTTCTTATAGTCCAACTTTCCCAGCCATACATTGCAATTGGGAAAACCATGGCCTTGACTACGCACTTTTGTTGGCAGGGTGATAATAAATCATGGTTCATTCTTTCTTAATATATCTTTCTTGTGTATGATCCTTTAAATAAGCAGAAATGTTGGCCATTTCTGCTAAACTAGAAACCTTAAATATCCATATATTATGGTTTGGAGAAGATGGATAGATTATATTCAGAATAAATTTGGAACTCAAAAGTTCCATTTGCTTTATGATTAAAATTTTGTAACAAATGTTTTATAAGAGATTTGTTTATATTATCTTGATGTTAGTTTAAGGCAGTGGTTCTCAACCTGTGGGTCGGGACCCCATTTGGGGTCGAACGACCATTTCACGGGGGTCACTAAACAAGGCTGTCCGCCATTTTTTTCCCCTTTTCTTTGGCCATGCCCCTGGCACCCAGTGATGTATAAGTGGTTGGGGGTCACCACCACATGGGGAACTGTATTATGGGGTCACAGCATTAGAAAGGTTGAGAACCACTGGTTTAAGGGGAGTTAAGGGTTAAATTTGTTTATTATATAATATCTTTAAAGTTAAGTTGATTTTGTTATTAATAACCCTGTATTCTGCTCTGGGAAGTAAGGGGGGGTGGGGGGATGGGCGGGTAAGTAGGTTAGATAATAGGATTATTTAAGTATGAAAGGGGTGTTGCTTGGGCACTTCCCCTGTATCTGACAGGGATGGATGGGAGGAGGAAGGGTAGGGAGAAAGTAGGTTGGTAAGAGGAGAGGGGGAGAGTGAGGTGAGGAGAGAAAGAGGAGGGAAGTAAGGTAGAGTGTTAGAGAGGGTGGATGTAGTTTGGGGGGGGGGCAAGCTACACCTATGGTTGAATTATTATGTTAAGTGTGAATTTTTTATATTTTTGTATTGATTAATAAAAGGAAAATAAAACTTTTAATAAAAAAAATAAAAATAAATCATGGTTCATCAGGCAGTCTGCCAGATGTTCAGACCGGATTTGGCCTTTTTTTGTCTGCCCATTGTCTCCTTCCCAAGGCCCTGGGAGAGGCAGGTGTGGATGTTGGATGGTATTAAAGTCTACGGAGATTTTCTGTCCTCCAAGTGATGGTTCTCCTGTTCCACAAGAGGCAATTTAGGCTTTCTAGTTTTTCACTGAAGACGTTTCGCTTCTCATCCAAGAAGCTTCTTCAGCTCTGACTTAAGAAAAAAACAAGGGAGTCCACCTGCCTCCTAAAACAGCCCCTTTCGGACAACCTGGATGGCTGAGAATCTCCATGGACATTTAGCCATGCACTTCGGGAAGAACCCCCTTCGAAGGGTGCGGGAGCAGGAATGGATGTCCAGAAAAAAATTGCAGACCGCAGGAACCATTTGCGCTTCGAGATGCGGACAACACAAGACTCGTCCCCATCATCCTGCGCCCGTCTCCAGCAGCGAAGGGACCCAGGGCAGAAGACATCCTGCAGCCAAGAAGGCTCCACCCCCATTTGCACCACTCAGGTGACCCTGAGGACACAGGTGAACCTGCAAGTGGCCTCAAGGACTCTCTAAAAGAAGGCAAATGGCCGGCTGTCTGCAAGGAGTATAAATCCTTCCCTTCCCCACCATCCAGTCAGAACCTGAAGAAGCTTCTTTGGACGAGAAGCGAAACGTCTTCAAAGAGAAAAACAAAGAGGTCCAGTTGCCTCCTGAAAAAGAAGCACCTTTGGGATGTTACTAAAAATATTTTCGCAGGATGTCAGCTGTTCCAAGCAAAGCTGCCTTTTGGCAATTGACCGATCCCCCATCGGTCAATGACAATGGGGTGTCCAAGGGATGCTCCAGATAGCTTTGAGATTGCAACTAAGGCATAATAATAATAATAATAATAATAAAGTTGGAACCTTGGAGGTCATCTATCCCAGGGCTTTTCAACCAGTGGGACGGGTACCACCTGTGGTACATTGGCACCTGGCAGGTGGTATGTGAACATCCTAGAAAAGGGGTAGCGGTGGAGGGGAAGGAGCTGAATCGGTGGCAGCACCGCACAAGCCTGAGCAAGAGATGGCTGGAGCTGCAGGGCTGTCAGGGCTCAGCGGAAGCGCCAGGATCAGCGCCAGGCTCCAGCTGGAGCTCAGCACTGATCCTGGCGCTTCTGCTGAGCCCAGAAGCACCAATCAGCTGGAATGTTGCAGTATCTCCAGGGTCTTGAGATTTACATTCAGATGCTTGGCAACTGATTCATATTTATAACGGTCCCAGGGTCAGTTGAAGTGACCAAAACCTGCTGCAACCACCCAGCAGACGAGGAGAATAAAAACCTCCGCTGCCAATCCTTAATAGAAATGCTCACAACAATGAAAACCTCGGGCAGGAGGAAGAGCGCCGCCGGGTGGGCAGGCAGGTGTCTTCCTCGGCTGTGGCTTGGGGGGCACTTTTTTCAGTGTCACTGTAACTTTGAAGTCACTAAGTGAACTGTTGTAAGTTGAGGACTACCTGTACTTTATCATTTTTTCCCTTTTGGGGGGGGGGTGTCAAGTTTTGGACCCCTTGCTAGGCGACTGGTGGTCCTCGGATGTTGCCATATCCTAAAAGTGGTACAATGGGTGAAAAGGTTGAAAAGCCCTGGACTAGTCCAACCCCCTGCTCAAGCAGGAGACCTTACACCATTTTGGACAAAGGGCTGTCCAGTCTCATCTTAAAACCTTCCAGTGTTGAAGCACTCACCGCTTCTGGTGGCAGGTTGTTCCCCTGGTTAATTGTTCTATGACTACCTTTGCTTTCTTTTGCCAGTCATTCTGTTTCTGTTTGCAAGCCTTTGGATGCTATTGTCGTCGCCACTGCTTTATTATTTATCGCACTTATTTGCTGATGACCATCTCCTGTAACCAATGTCCCCTGCTGCCTGTGAAGACCCTGACACCCCCCTCCCCCCAAAAAACCCACGCCCCCTCCTCACTTCCCAGGAGAGAGAATTCAATCCAGGAAGCCGTCCGGGTCTGCTTCTGGCTTTCATTTCTTTTTTCCTCATTTTAATATAAGAAGAAGCAAATCCACAATACAAAATTTAAAAATCAGCACCCAGGACCCCTCCCTCTACCCTCCCCTCCCCAGGACAATGAAGAAGGGAAGGGGAACCGGTGTGACGGGGTAAAGGGGGGGCGGCTGAGGTGGGGAGGAGGGGGAGATCCCTTTAACTCTACCTCCCTCCCCCCACCTGCCTGTTTCCTCCCCAGGGAGGGGAATAACACGTCCAGGAAGCCAGATTGGAGACCCAAAGCACGGATCGGGGTCCCGTGCTGCCCCAAGTCCAACAGACAGACAGACAGACGGACGCAGAGACACACACACACGTGCGCACACGCACCCCACGCACGGCTGTGACGCCATCCAGTTGGCTTGGAAAGAAAAAAACGAAAACCATTTGCAAGGGAGGGGGGGGGTCGGGGAGAGGGGCAAAGCCCGGCCTGCGCAGGCGCCCGCGGTCATTTCTCTTTCTTCTCAGGATCTGTCTCTGTCTTCTCTTCTTTGGGGTCTGCCGTCCCGTCCTTCGAGGCGGCGTTCTCTTCGTAGCTGGGGAGCAAGAGGGAAAGACGGGTGAGTTGGCGGCACCCTTCCCCACCCAAATCGCCATTCCTTTGGGTCCCTTTGAGATGGGGGGACTCGGACTCCCAGAATCCCCCAGCTGGCCTGCTTTACGAGGGGTGGACTTCAACTTTCCAACATCTGAAAGCATTGCTGGTGGTTAAGCGTGCACATCGGTCGTAAAATGGATGCTTGAGCCCGTCCACAAGGGACGGGTTTTTTTCGGCCAGGAAGTGGAAGTAAAACCCCAGTTTCTGGCCAAAAAAAAAAAAGTCCTAAATCGGGGCCAAGAAATAACTTTATTTATTCAGCATATGGCATATCATACATGGCTAGCCCAGGGGCGGGGGCACCTTGGCTCTTTTATGATTCGTGGACTCCAACTCCCAGAATTCCTGAGCCAGCCATGCTGAGGGGAAAGGGATAAGTTTCCAAGCTGAGCCATGCCGGCTCAGGAATTCTGGGAGTTGAAGTCCACGAGTCATGAAGGGGCCAGAGTTCTCCCATGCTGGGTGAAGAATTCTGGGAGTTGAAGTCCACCAGTCATGAGGGGGCCAAGTTTGAAGACTCCTGCTTTAAATATTTAAATATTTTTTCCTCACGGTCACGTGATCAAAATTCAGGCATTTGGGCAGGGGTAGGCAACCTGGGTTCTTTTATGACTGGTGGACTTCAACTCCCAGAATTCCTGAGCCAGCCATGCTGAGGGGAAAGGGAGAGGTTTCCAAGCTGAGCCGTGCTGGCTCAGGAATTCTGGGAGCTGAAGTCCACGAGTCACGAGGGGGCCATAGTTCCCCCATGCTGGCTCAGGAATTCTGGGAGTTGAAGTCCACAAGCCATGAAAGTACTGTAGTTCCCCATGCTGGCTCAGGAATTCTGGGAGTTGAAGTCCAGAAGTCCTAAAATAGCCAAGGTTCCCCACCCCTGGACTAGTCATTTAAATCAATATTTCAACTAGATTAGTAGAAAGCAGCAAATTAGGCTGATTGCTGTACATCCATAATGTGATCGTATGACTGCAGAGAGGGGCCCAGCCGTCGCAATTGTGAATATGGGTCCCAAAAATCTTTGGGGGTGGGGCTCTGATATATCTTGAAACGGCTGGTAAGCGACCAGTCGTAATTTGGGGACTATGTAGGCAGGTAGTCCTCAACTTACGACCACAACAGAGCCCAGAATTCACGCTGCTAAGTGAGAAATTTGTTAATTGAGTTTTTCCCCCTTTTACAACTTTTCTCACCGCTGTTCTTAAGCGAGTCACTGCGGTTCTTAAATTAGTCACCCGGTCATTAAGCGAGTCTGTCTTCCCCCATGGACTTTGCTTGTCAAAAGGTCGCAAAAGGGGATCATGTGACTGGGACACTACGACCGTCGTAAATGTGAGTCTGTTCCTGAGCGCCTGAATCTTTGATCAGCTGAGCACAGGGAAGCTGCAACAGTCGTTAAGCGGAAATAACGGCCGTTAAATTGCTTTCTCCACCATCATCGTAACTTCGAGCTGTCACCGAATGAACGGATGTAAGTTGAGGCACGGGTAGTCCTTGACTTACGACTGAAATCCATTTAAAAGTTGTCAAGGCTAAGAAACACTGATCTGGCCACTCGCTATAAATCACGAGCTGGTTTCTTTCATGTTGTCGGTCCAGATCAGCGACCTAACACGCTTTTCAGAAGAATTAGGAAAAAAAAAAAGAAATAAATATCCTACAAATAGTCCTCAGCTTACCACGATTCGTTTAGCAACCGTTTGAACTTACAGTGGCACTGAGGAAAAAAAAATGATGTTTCTCACACGGCTGTCGCAGCCTCCCCGGGGTCACATGACCAAAATCCAGATGATAATAATAATAATAATAATAATAATAATAATACATAACACCCCAGACTTAACAATTGTCGATAAGAAAGACAAAAAAGTCTGGATAGTGGACGTGGCAGTGCCTGGAGACAGCAGAATAGAAGAGAAAGAACTGGAGAAGATAACAAAATACAAAGACCTACAAATAGAAATAGAAAGACTGTGGCAAAAGCAAGCAAGGGTAGTACCAAGAGTCATAGGCTCCTTGGGTGCAATCCCAAAACAACTGGAGCACCACTTGAACACCATTGGCATTGACAAATTCGCTATTAGTCAATTGCAAAAGGCGGCCTTACTAGGAACTGCTTCCATCCTGCGACGATATCTGTAATACCATCAAACATCCACATCTGCCTATCCCAGTCCTGGGTAAGGACTCGATAGGTAGACAAAATGCCAAATCCAGTCTGAACATCTGGCTGACTGTGCGATGATCGATAATAATAATAATAATAATAATGATGATGATGTTGTTGTTGGAAGGAACCTTGGAGGTAATAATAATAATATAATAATAAAGTTGGAAGGGACCTTGGAGGTCATCTAGTCCAACCCTCTGCTCAGGCAGGAAACCCTATACCATATCAAACAAATGGCTGTCCGGTCTCTTCTTAAAAACTTCCAGTGTTGGAGCATTCACCGCTTCTGGAGGCAGGTTGTTCCACTGGTTAATTGTTCTGACTGTCAGGAAGTTTCTCCTTAGTTCTAGGTTGCTTCTCTCCTTGGTCAGTTTCCATCTGTTGCTTCTTGTCCTGCCTTCAGGCACTTTGGAGAATAGCTTGACTCCCTCTTTTTTGGGGCAGCCCCTGAAATATTGGAAGACTGCTATCATGTCCCCCCTCGTCCTTCTCTTCATTAAACTAGACATACCCAATTCCAGCCACCGTTCCTTATATGCTTTAGCCTCCAGTCCCCTGATCATCTTTGTTGCTCTTCTCTGTCCTCTTTCTAGAATCTCAGCATCTTTTTTACATCGTGGTGACCAAACCTGGATGCAGGATTCCAAGTGTGGCCTTACCAAGGCCTTGTAAAGTGGTATTAACACTTCATGTGATCTTGATTCTATCCCTCTATTAATGCAGCCCAGCACCGCGTTGGCCTTTTTGGGCAGCTGCAGCACACAGCTGGCTCCTATTTAAGGGATTGTCCACTACGACTCCGAGGTCCCTCTCACAGTTACTACTCTTGAGCAAGGTACCCCCTATACTATACCTGTGCATTTGGTTTTTCTTGCCTAAATGTAGAACCTTACTTTTTTCACCATTGAATTTCATGTTGTGAGATAGCGCCCAGTGTTCAAGTCTGTCCAGATCCTCCTGTATCCTAAGCCTGCCTTCTGGAGTGTTGGCTATTCCTGCCAGCTTGGTGTCGTCTGCAAATTTGATGAGTTCCCCATCTATTTATGACGGTCACAGTGTCCCGGGGTCATGTGATCTCCTTTTGCAAACCGGCAAAGTCAAGCCGGATTCACTTAACCGTGTTACTCACAACTGCAGTGATTCACTTCACAGCTGTGGCCAGAATGGTTGCAAAGATGCGGCAAAGCTAGCTTGACAGCCGTCACGGTTAGCAATGGACACGTGGGGTTCAACTGTGGTCGTAAGCTGAGGACTACCCATAAGACACCCCCCCGACACCCTTTTCGTGAGAATTAAAAATAACTTTCTGTCTACAAGTGGCCCACGCGCGGTGCTCCCGGACCCCCCCCCTACCTGGCCAGAGTCACACAGGCAGGCCTTGGATGGGGAGGGGAGGGTGGAAGAAAGGGGAGGGAGCTACATGATGCTGGGACTCTGCTGCCGGCGTCTGTAGGAACAAGGCGGGATCTGCTGCATGGAGTCAGCCAAGCCGGACGGACACCCGGAGACGTTAGGGAAATGGGTCAGCCGGGGGGTGTGGGGCAAGATTTCGGCAGAAGACTCATAGCTGCAGGAGAGAGAGAGAGAGAGAGAGAGAAAGAGAAAGAGAGAAAAAAAGGGGCAGGCAGGAGCAGGGAGAGACAGAGACACAATGGGGAGGGGGGCAAAAGAGAAAGATAAGCTTAGGAAGAGCTGGCGAGGCACAGATGAGCTAGCCAAGTTGCCCAAATTCTCTTTGCCCCTTGATACCCACGGAGGAAGAGTTTGGGGGGATCAAAACGGGGGTGTCCCGTGGGATGGCCTGATTACAGAAGAGCAGAGTTGGAAGGGACCTTGGGGGTCTTCTAGTCCGACCCCCTGCTCGTGCAGGAGACCGTCTACTAGAGGTGTCCAACCTTGGCCCCACTTTTAAGACTTGTGGACTTCAATTCCCAAAATTCCCCAGTCAGGGCTGGGAGTTGAAGTCCACAAGTCTTAAAAGTGGCCAAGGTTGGACAGGGCTGACCCTTGGAGGTCTTCTAGTCCAACCCCCTGCTCGTGCAGGAGACCATCTACTAGAGATGTCCAACCGTGGCCACTTTTAAGACTTGTGGACCTCAATTCCCAGAAATCTCCAGTCAGCTATGGGAGCTGGAAGTCCATGGGTCTTAAAGGTTGGACAGGGCTGATCCTTGAAGGTATTCTAGTCCAACCCCCTACATTTTGGACAAATGGCTGTCCAATCTCTTCTTCCAGTGACAGAGGACCCACAACCAGCTTCAGCACCCCACTAAGAACATAGAACAATGGAAGGGACATTGGAGGTCATCTAGTCCAAGCAGGAGACCCTATACCATTTCGGATAAATGGTTGTCCAAATCTCTTTTTTTGAAAACCTCCAGTGAGGGAGCACCTACAACTTCTGAAGGAGAGAAGCTGAGATGTATCTGAGGCCCGATACGGCCTGTTGGACTAATATAGGACCATCGTGATCCCTGGCCCACCTTAACCTTTCTTGCTGACCCCAACATTTGGGAGAGAATCATAGGCCAAGTTTGGAGAAGATGGGACAAGCCATCTCCTGGGCTTGCCCCATCTCGGCAGAAAAGCTAAGCAGGCTTGGAAGGTTTAGCTCCGGGATGGAAGGCCACCTGCAAATCCCACGGTACAGACGAGGAAATAAAGCCAAAGGTGGCAAAGCAGAATCCATAAGATGGCAAGAAACCAAGATGGACATCTTCTTATGGTTTCTAGAAGATGCTCCTGAAGGTGCTCGGGGCTTCTCAAGCTTGAGAAATATGGGTGGACTTCAACTCAACATGGCTGGCTGGGGAATTCTGGGCGTTGAGGTCCACCGCAGGTCAGATGTGGTAGGAGATATGAACAGGATGGGAATGTATGCAGCGAAGAGGAGAAACAAGAGCAGTTGAAGTAGAAAGTGGAGAACTTCAGGGCAAAACTCTCTCCACCTTACTACTCCACTCACAAAGCCAAGCCAAGCACCAAAGAACCAATTCCCAAAAGGCCCTGGACGGCTTTTTTGGTGGACGTATCTCGACAGATGCCATCACTCTTAGAAATGGGTCATGAAATGCCTGTAAGCCTAGCTCAGAGACTCTAGACCAGTGGTTCTCAACCTGTGGGTTGAGATCCCATTTGGGGTCCAACGACCATTTCACGGGGGTCGCCAAACGCACTCCGCCATTTTTCCCCCCTTTTCCTTAGCTGTGCTACTCCCTCTTATTCTATTGGCTGTCGAAAGCCAATAGAAGAGACTCTCTTGAATAGAGTCTAATTCTATGGGCTTTCCAAAGCCAATAGGAATTGTCCAGGCTGCCTCTGCCCTGCTGAGCCCGCCAAAAGTCCCATTCTGCAAACGGGGCTGCACCAGTTGAGTAGTCCTCAACTTACGACCGGTTGAGTAGTCCTCGACTTACGACCGGTTGGGGGTCGCGGCATTAAAAAGGTTGAGAACCACTGCCCTAAAGGACCCCACAAGCTTCCTCTTCCTCCACTCTACAGACCCCACTCTCTCCTAGCACTGATGACATTCCCTAGTTGGGTCATGAAACGTCTGCAAGGAAACCACCCAGTTCAGACAGCACCAAGGACCCCACAGTCCTCCTCCTCCTCTTTCTCCCTTCTAGCACTGATGATGTTACCTAGTTGGGTCATGAAACATATGCAAGAAGACCACCCAGCTCAAGAGCATCAAGGATTCCACAGTCTTCCAACTCCTACTCCTCCTCTTCCCTCCCTCTCTCCCTCCTCCTCCTTTACACTCTCCCTTCTAGCACTGATAATATTACCTAGTTGGGTCATGAAACGTCTGCAAGAAAACCACCCAGCTCAGAGATCACCGAGGACCCCACAGTCTTCCTCCTCCATGGTCATGTGATCAAAATCCCAACGCTTGGCCACTGGTCCGTATTTATGACGGTTGCAGTCTCCCGGGGTCATGTGATCAAATTTTGGGCTCAATTGTGTGACTGTTAAGTCAAGGACTACCTGTATCTGGGTCTGCGGGGGAGACCCTAACTCTCAAAGGAGGTTACCCTCTAGTGAAGTCTGCCCACATCTTCTGTAGACTACTGGGGAGGGTTCTCCACTCAGCACCCCCAACCGCTGCATTCACTTAACGACCGCCGAAAGGTCATAAAATCAGGTTGGTCTCGTGGGTGACCCCACATAGCAATAATAATAACAACAATAATAACAATAATAAAATAATAATAATAATAAAAATAATAAAATAAAGTTGGAAGGGACCTTGGAGGTCATCCAGTCCAACCCCGCTTAGGCAGAAAGCCTATACTTTATGTCCATCGTGAAGTATGACCGTAACGGGCAGGCTCCAATGCCACCACCAGTTCGTAAAATCGGATCAGTCATGTGGGCACCTTGATTTAGGAGTCATGACTCAAATTAGAATAGAATAGAGCTGGAAGGGACCTTGGAGGTCTTCTAGTCCAACCCCCTACTCAATCAATCAATCAATCAATCAATCAATCAATCAGAACACAGCTAAAAGGGACCTTAGAGGTCTTCTAGTCCAGCCCCCTGCTCAAGCAGGAGAACCTATATACCATCTCAGACAGGTGCTTGTCTGGTCTCTCCTTAAACATCTCCAGTGATGGGGCGCCCACGATTTCTGGTGGCAAACCGTTCCACTGGTTAATTGATATTCCAGGCCCGTGGACTTCCTGGTCGTAAGTCGAGGACCACCTGTGCCACACAAAAGGACTCACCTGAACATGTCGGTCACTTCTCCTTTGGCCAAGGCTACCAGAAGTGGGAAGCCGATGCAAGCCGGAACCAGGTACAACAGAGCTGGCTGAGGAGGGAAGATCAAGAGGGAACTTTAGAACGAGAGAGGCAGAGCAGAGGGAATCGGGGTCCGGCCTGCTAAGAGACACCCCTCATTCACAGCAGCAGTGGAGTTCCTCACAACCTTCCCATGGTCCCCGGTGGGAAGCCTTCTGCAACCTGGGGCCGTCGTTATTGCAAGGCAGCAGAGGCGTAGCCAAGGTGCCGAGAAGCCCAAACTATCTGTGGCCTGATGTTTCTCAAGCTTGGCCATTTTAAGATGGGTGGACTTCAACTCCCAGAATTCCTGAGCCAGCCAGGCTGTTGGCCTGTCTCTTTAAGACAGGGGTGGGGATCTATAGCCCCTTCATGACCGGTGGACTTCAACTCCCAGAATTCCTGAGCCAGCCATGCTGTTGGCCTGTCCCTTTAAGACAGGGGTGGGGATCTATAGCCCCTTCATGACCGGTGGACTTCAACTCCCAGAATTCCTGAGCCAGCCATGCTGTTGGCCTGTCCCTTTAAGACAGGGGTGGGGATCTATAGCCCCTTCATGACCGGTGGACTTCAACTCCCAGAATTCCTGAGCCAGCCATGCTGTTGGCCTGTCCCTTTAAGACAGGGGTGGGGATCTATAGCCCCTTCATGACCGGTGGACTTCAACTCCCAGAATTCCTGAGCCAGCCATGCTGTTGGCCTGTCCCTTTAAGACAGGGGTGGGGATCTATAGCCCCTTCATGACCGGTGGACTTCAACTCCCAGAATTCCTGAGCCAGCCATGCTGTTGGCCTGTCCCTTTAAGACAGGGGTGGGGATCTATAGCTCACCTGAGCATGTTTGAAGACATGCATGATGAAGATGGTGAGGCTGAGTCCAAGAATATAGGCCACGAAACTGGTGTAGAAGTAGGTGTGTGTGTTCTTCTTCAGGCTGCGGTGACAAGCAAAGGGGGGGGAGGTAGGTAAATAGGACAGTCCAGAGCCCAGGTGCAGACCCACAAGCCAAGGGGGTGAGGAAAGCAGAGCCCCCAGGGCAAGAAGCCAGAGAATAAGAGAATTAACAGATTAGGGGTCTTCAAAGTTGGCCCTTTTATGACTTGTGGATTTCAACTGAGGAATTCTGGGAGTTGAAGTCCACAAGTCATAAAAGGGCCAGGTTGGAAGACCCCTGTTCTAATCTTCTTTATAGGCCAAGAAAACCTCCCTCTTTTATCACTCAGCTAAACAGATCTGTCTATCGCAAACCTCTTAACACTTGCCACATTCGTGTGCACAACAGCACACCTCTATGACCCCAGGTGAATGTGCAAATCCAACATGGCCCGGGGGTTGTGCAAAACCACAAGCAGGGTGCTTTATAATCATTCATAAAAATAAGCCTATTTCTGCCAAAGATTCTTGGGGTTTTGGAGAATAGAATAGAATAGAATAGGAATATAGAATAGAATAGAATAGAATAGAATAGAATAGAATAGAATAGAATAGAATAGGGAATAAATAGAATAGAATAGAATAGAATAGAATAGAATAGAATAGAATAGAATAGGAATATAGAATAGAATAGAATAGAATAGAATAGGGAATAAATAGAATAGAATAGAAAAAAATATAGTATAGAATAGGAATAGAATAGAATAGGAAATAAAGAACAGAATAGAACAGAACAGAATAGGAATATAGAATAGAATAAGAATATAGAATAGAATAGAATAGAATAGAATAGAATAGAATAGAATAGAATAGAATAGAATAGAATAGAAAAAATACAGTATAGAATAGGAATAGAATAGGGAATAAAGAATAGAATAGAACAGAATAGGAATATAGAATAGAATAAGAAAATAGAATAGAATAGAATAGAATAGAATAGAATATAGAATAGGAATAGAATAGGGAATAAAGAATAGAATAGAATAGAATACGAATAGAATAGGAATAGAATAGAACAGGGAATAAAGAATAGAATAGAATAGGAATAGAATAGGGAATAAAGAATAGAATAGAATAGATTGTAGATTAGATTAGATTAGATTAGATTAGAATATGGGAGGAACCTTGGGAGGTTTTCTAGTCCAACCCCCTGCCCAAGCCAGAAACCCTATACCATTTCAGGCAAATAGCTGTCCAGTCTCTTCTTGAAAACCTCCAGGGATGCAGCAGTCACAACTTCTGGAGGCAAGCAGTTCCATTGGTTTATTGTTCTGTCAGGAAGTTTCTCATAGGTTGCTTCTCTCCTTGATTAGTTTCCATCTGTTGCTTCTTGTCCTGCCTTCAGGTGCTTTGGAGAAGAGCTTGACTCCCTCTTCTTTGGGGCAGCCCCTGAGATAGTGGAACCCTGCTATCATGCCTCCCCTGGTCCTTCTTTTCAATAAACTAGACCTACCCAATTTCTGCAACCGTTCTTCGTATGTTTTAGCCTCCGGTCCCCTAATCACCTTTGTTGCTCTTCTCTGGACTCTTTCCAGTGCAACTACAGGAGACAAGCTATTCCATTAATTGTTCTGTCAGGAAGTTTCTCCTTAGTTCTAGGTTGCTTCTCTCCTTGATGAATTTCCATCCGTTGCTTCTTGTCCTGCCTTCAGGGGCTTTGGAGAATAGCTTGACTCCCTCTTCTTTGGGGCAGCCCCTGAAATACTGGATCACTGCTATCCTGTCCTCCCCTCGTCCTTCTCTTCGTTAAACTAGACATACCCAATTACTGAAACCGTTCTTCATATGTTTTAGCCTCCGGTCGCCTGATCATCTTTATCACTCTCAACCCCAACCTTTCTGCTCTCTTAATGACAGCCATGTCTGAAAAGGTATAGGGTTTCCTGCCTGAGCAGGGGACTGGACTAGATGACCCCCAAGGCCCCTTCCAACTTTATGATTATGATTATTAATGCTGGAAGAGGGGTGGTGGAGCATTTTTCAATTGTTAAGTTGCCGCAAAGGATTTACCTGATATCAAAGCGCAAGAGAAGGGCGATGAAGATACCTGGAGGGAGAGGAAGAGGGATAAAGTCACCTTTAATCTAACATCTGTCCCCTTATAGATGGCCTTGGTGGCCACCAGCCACCTGGATCTCCAGATGTCAATTAGCTGCAGCCCCACAGTGCCCCCTTGTGGCTACGAATACAGGCAATCCTCACTTGAGGCCTGTTGATTCCTGTTGCAAAGTGAGACGCTCGTTAAATTGGTTTTGCTTCATTTGACGTCTTTTCTTGCTGAACACTCTTATTAAGCGAATCAACTGCAGTTGTTAAGTTAGTAACACAGTCGTTAAGTGAATCCTCATTGACTTTACTTGTCGGAAGGTTGCAAAAGGGGATCCCGGGGATCCTGTGACCGTCATAAATATGAGCGTCATAAATATCAAGCAACTGAATTTTGATCACGTCATCACGTGACCATGGTGGGGAGGGGAAAGGTTTTGCTACAACGGTCGTAAGTATGAAAATGAAAGTATGAAAGAACGAAAATCGGTCATAAGTCACTTTTTCCAGTGCCATTATAACGTCAAATGGTCACTAAACAAATTGCTTTAAGTCAAGAATTGCCTGTATCTACTTACCATTTTATTTCACAAAAAAATTTAACAGCTTCTCCATACAGTTTACTTCTAACTTAGACCATCCTGGTTTTACCGTATTTATCTGGTGTATATTTATTTTAGATAGCAATAGCAATAGCACATAGACTTATCTACCTCTTCCTAAGCGGTTTACAGAGTCAGTTTATTGGCCCCTAACAATCTGGTCCTCATTTTACCGACCTCGGAAGGATGGAAGGCTGAGTCAACCTTGAGCCGGTCAGGATCGAACTCCAGGCTGTGTGCAGAGTCAGCCTGCAATACTGCATTGTAACCACTGCACCACCATGGCAGATAGATAGATAGATAGATAGATAGATAGATAGATAGATAGATAGATAGATAGATAAATAGATAGATAGACAGACAGACAGACAGACATAGATAATGGATAGATGGATGGATGGATGGATGGATGGATAGGGATGGATAAATAGACAGATAGATAGATAATGGATAGATAGATGGATGGATGGATAGACAGATAGATAACGGATGGATGGATGGATGGATGGATGGATGGATAGACAGACAGATAATGGATAGATGGATGGATGGATGGATGGATAGGGATGGATAAATAGACAGATAGATAGATAATGGATAGATAGATGGATGGATGGATAGACAGATAGATAACGGATGGATGGATGGATGGATGGATAGACAGACAGATAATGGATAGATGGATGGATAGATATAAGACATAGATAATGGATGGATGGATAGACAGACAGACAGATAATGGATAGATGGATGGATGGAGGGATAGATGGATGGATAAATAGACAGATAGATAATGGATAGATGGATGGATGGATGGATGTAGACAAACAGACAGAATGGATGGATGGATGTAGACAGACAGACAGATGGATAGATGGATGGAGGGATAGATGGATGGATAAATAGACAGATAGATAGATAATGGATAGATGGATGGATGGATAAATAGATAATGGATGGATGGATGGATGGATGGATGGATGGATGAATAAACAGACAGATAGACAGACAGATAGATAATGGATAGATAGATGGATGGATGGTTGGATAGACAGACAGATAATGGATGGATGGATGTAGACAGGCAGACAGATAATGGATGGATGGATAGACAGACAGACAGACAGATAAATTTACAGCATTTGTCTTACCTGGAATGACAATGTCACCCAAGCCCAGCATGGCAAAATTGTCGGCTTCCAGGCCTTTCTCCAGCAGATCTTGGGGGAAAACCACTGCGGGGGGGGGGGAGGAACAGGAAGGGAAGTGAAGTGATTGTAAGGGGAGATGGAAGGATCCAAAACAGGTGACTGTTTTGAACAATTTGACACTGAATATTAAATTACATTTTGTTCTTGATTGACGTAGGAGAAGAGCAAGCTGAGCTGGAAGGTGGAGCTAAACATGTCATCAGCTTAAAGTCACTGTGTTGCCACAAGAGAACCAAATCCAACCCCACCCCCACCCCCACCCCTGTGAATTCCATTGAATTCATCCTGGACTGTTCATTGACTAGATTCATGTATAAGTAGTCCCCACGGCAGTGAAAAAACATGACATGACCATTTTTACACCATTGCAGCATCCCCAATATGCTCACATGATTAATAATAATAATAATAATAATAATAATAATAATAATAATAGGTTGGAAGGGACCTTGGAGGTCATCTAGTCCAATCCCCTGCTCAGGCAGACAACCCTATACCATTTCACAAAAAATGACTGTCCAGTCTCTTCTTAAAAACAGATTCTAACGCCAGCTACTCACGTTTGATGGGGGCTTCAAATGACTTGGCTACAGTCACCATCACATTGGTACCAAAGACCTAGGAAAAAGGGGAGCAGAATTAGGAAGAGCAGGCAGTGATCCACCAGGTACAGTATTATGATAAGGCAGGGGTGCCTGGCTGAGGAATTCTGGGAGTTGAAGTCCACCAGTCATAAAAGGGCCAAGTTTGAAGGCCCCTGTTATAAGAGATCGTGTTTCTGCCACATCTCTTGAGGTTTTGGAGTCATGACAGCCCAAGAATGCTCAGTAGAGCAAGGAATGGGCTGGATGTTAAGCTACACCCACCTCGAACTCCTTACACATCGTCTGTCCAAGTTCATGGTGCCCACGTTCTCAGCCTAGTCCTCCTCCCTTGCTATCCCTAAAAGACTTTCCCACTATAAGCCCATAACTTTATTTTTCAGAGCAATTGGCTGAGACTTTCCAAATCCAGGGAGGCACCTCTAAGTAGCTGGGTTAAGGAAAAGCTCTTGCAGACTGTCCAGGAGACAGCGAGTTCTAGTCCTGCCTAAGGCTGAATTGGGGCCAATCCCCAGGAGACAGCGAGTTCTGGTCCCACCTTAGGCATGAAAGCCGGCTGGGTGACTTTGGATCAATCAACAGGAGAGGGTGAGTTCTAGTCTCCTCTTGGGCATGAAAGCCAGCTGGGTGATCTTGGGCCAATCACCAGGAGACTGTGAGTTCTAGTCCCGCCTTAGGCAGGAAAGCTAGCTGACTTTGGGCCAATCCCCAGGAGATGGTGAGTTCTTCTCCCACCTTAGGGATGAAAGCCGGCTGGGTGACTTTGGGCCAATCACAAGGAGACAGTGAATTCTAGTCCCGCCTTAGGCATGAAAGAGGCTGGGTGACTTTGGGCCAATCACCAGGAGACAGCGAGTTCTAGTCCTGCCTTAGGCAGGAAAGCCAGCTGAATTTGGGCCAATCACTAAGAGATGGTGAGTTCTTGTCCCGCCTTAGGCATGAAAGCCAGCTGGATGACTCTGAGCCAATCATCAGGAGATGGTGAGATCTAGTCCCACCTTAGGCACGAAAGAGGCTGGATGACTTTGGGCCAATCACCAGGAGACTCTTTGTTCTAGTCCCGCCTTAGGCATGAAAGCCTAAGGGGCAATCACCTGGAGATGGTGAGTTCCAGTCCCGCCTTAGGCATGAAAGCTGGCTAGGTGACCTTGGGCCAATCACCAGGAGACGGTGAGTTCTAGTCCCACCTTAGGCATGAAAGAGGCTGGGTGACTTTGGGCCAATCACCAGGAGAGGGTGAGTTCTAGTCCCGCCTTAGGCACGAAAGCCAGCTGGGTGACTTTGAGCCAGTCCTTCTTCCTCAGCCCTGCCCACCTCACAGGGTTGTTGTGGTGTGGAAAATAGGGAGGAGGAAGGACTATTAACCTATATCCGCTTGCTGAAGTGATTGATACAAGTAATAAAAACGGTGGGAGGAAAAGCTAATCCATAAATTAATGCTCTTGTCCGGGAGGATCTTGTCCAGGCTGATTCGCACTTTCCCCTCTATTCCGCTTCGCTCGCGGTTTGACCAAGAAAAGGGAGGAGGTAGGATGGGATGCAAGGGTGTGGGGGGGGGGGGGGAATTGCAACTAAGCATCACCCCCTACCCACGAGACGGTGCTTGACCCCAAGAACCTGGCGTGACCGTCGCAAAATGAACAGGAGTGATTGGTGGACTGTGGGAAAGAGGAGGGAATTAACTGTGCAAGCTTCTGCCCGGGAAACCAGGTGCTGGTTTTGCTTCGTCAGCGCCAGTATTGTGTATTCAGTAAAGTTTACACCAGTGGTTCTCCACCTGTGGGTCGGGACCCCATTTGGGGTCAAACGACCATTTCACGGGGGTCGCCAAACAACGCAGTCCACCATTTTTCCCCCCTTTTCCTTAGCTGTGCTACTCCCTTTTATTCTATTGGCTTTTGAAAGCCAATAGAATAGACTCTCTTGAATAGAGTCTAATTCTATTGGCTTTCAAAAGCCAATAGGAATTGTCCAGGCTGTCTCTGCCCTGCTGAGCCCGCCAAAAGTCCCATTCTGCAAACGGTGCTGCACCAGTTGAGTAGTCCTTGACTTACGACCGGCTGGGGGTCGTGGCATTAAAAAGGTTGAGAACCACTGGTTTACACGCTTGGTAAAAATAACGTCCTGGGAGTTTCTTTTTTTCTGGATCTGCCCATTGGACCGTTGGCAGATCTGCTGAGCCAGGAAACCAGCTGCAGGCTTACCCAGAAGACATCATAGATGAAGAGCCCACCAAGCAAGATGCAGCCCGTGCTGACGTTGTTCAAGTGTAACAGCTCCACTCCGTTGAGAGAGAAGGCCAGGCCAAAGAGGTTGTTAGCGATCCAGTGCTGGAGGAAAGAGAAGGGAAGTCCTGAGCAACACTCCCTCGCCCCACATTCCACCCTCTTGGTCTGATGGGAAGCCAGCCCGTAGGTTACGCACATCCTCCTGCCTGCAGTCTGCTCAGAATAAGAGAATAACACAGCGGGAAGGGATTTTGGCGGTCATCTAGTCCAACCTTGGAGGTAATAATAATAATAAAATAAAGTTGGAAGGGACCTTGGAGGTCATCTAGTCCAACCCCCTGCTCAGGCAGGAAACCCTGTACCATTTCAGACAAAGGGCTGTCCAGTCTCTTCTTGAAGACTTCCAGTGTTGGAGCATTCACCGCTTCTGGAGGCAGGTTGTTCCACTGGTTAATTGATCTGTCAGGAAGTTTCTCCTTAGTTCTAGGTTGCTTCTCTCTTTGGTTAGTTCCCATCCGTTGCTTCTTGTCCTGCCTTCTGGTGCTTTGGAGAACAGAACAGAATAAGTAGGGACCTTGGAGGTCATCTAGTCCAACCCCCTGCTCAGGCAGGAAACCCTATACCATTTCAGACAAATGGCTGTCCAGTCTCTTCTTAAAAAGGTCCAGTGTTGGAGCATTCACCGCTTCTGGAGGCAGGTAGTTCCACTGGTTAATTGATCTCACTGTCAGGAAATTGCTCCTTACTTCCAGGTTGCTTCTCTCCTTGATTAGTTTCCATCCGTTTCTTCTTGTCCTGCCTTTAGGTGCTTTGGAGGACAGGTGGAGCCCCTCCTCTTTGGGACAGCCCCTGAGATATTGGAAGGCTGTTTATTATGTCGCCTCTAGTTCTCCTTTTCAGGAAACTAACAGAACAAAATAACAGAGTTGGAAGGGACTTTGGAGGTCTTCTAGTCCAACCCCCCGCTCAAGCAGGAAAATCTACACAATCTCAGACAAATGCTTGTCCAATTTCTTCTTAAAACTAGACATGCCCAATTCCTGCAACTTTACCCTCCAGGCCCCTAATCATCTTTGTTGCTCTTCTCTGCATTATACCCTATGCCAGGGGTCTTCAGACTGGGCCCTTTGATGACTGGTGGACTTCAACTCCCAGAATTCCTCAGCCAGGCATGCCTGGCTGAGGAATTCTGGAAGTTGAAGTCCACAGGTCATCAAAGGGCCCAGTTTGAAGACCCCTGGTTTAGGACTATATACCTGTATTACATTCTTTATAAGGGGGGAAAAAAGCAGAAATCTTACCCTTGTTCTATATTTAGTGATAATTACCTCTTCCAGCTGTGGAACCACAAAGCAGCCCACAAAAATCTGAACTAGGCCTCTATCTACTGTTTTTTTCCAGAATATTCCTTCAAGATTTCCTCAAAATATTCATACCTGCCTTATATATTCTATAGCAGGGGTCTCCAAACTTGGCCCTTTTAGGACTTGTGGACTTCAACTCCCAGAATTCCTCAGCCAGGCAGCTGTCTTCTTAAAAACTTCCAGTGATGGAGCACCCACAATGTCTGGAGGCAGGCAGTTCCACTGGTTAATTGTTCTCACTGTCAGGAAGTTTCTCCTTAATTCCAGGTTGCTTCTCTCCTTGATGAGTTTCCATCCGTTGCTTCTTGTCCTGCCTTCTGGTGCTTTGGAGAATAGCTTGACTCCCTCTTCTTTGGGGCAGCCCCTCAAATATTGGAACGCTGCTATCCTGTCCCCCCATAATCCTCCTCTTCATTAAACTAGACATCCTCAATTCCAGCAACCGTTCCTTGTATGTTTTAGCCTCCAGTCCCCTGATCCTCTTTGTTGCTCTTCTCTGCACTCTTTCTAGAGTCTCAACACCTTTTTTATATTGTGGTGACCAAAACTGGATGCAGGATTCCAAGGCTGGTCTTATCAAGGCCTTGTAAAGTGGTATCAGTTATTCTACCTGGCTCACCAGCAGGTCAGCTTACCTTCCTCAGCAGGTACCAGACGCCCACAATGCTGCTCATGGCCAGGCAGACAAGGTCCTTGGTGTCAAATTCATAGTTGACAATCTCTGGAAGGAGACAATAAATGCCATTTTCAAGGTCACTAAATGGGAGGATACGCCGAAGGGGGCTTACCTAAAGACGAAGGAGGCATGTAAGCAAGGTGACGAAAAATCAGGATTTTTTGTTTAAAAGAATCCCTTCGCGAGATGCCTGTTCCACAAGGAGGAAGGGGTTGTTATCTTAGTTCAAATATATTTATCCGTAGTCCAACTAAAGGGGACAATTTATGTATACATCTGTTTGGGGTTTTTTTTCTTTTTCTGCACTTTTTTTGTGTAGCATTTTTTTTTCTCCCCCGCCCCCCCCTTTTTTTGGACTTTGTATTTCAATTTTTTGAATAAAATAAAAATAGAACTTGAATAAGCAAAAAGAAAAGGGATTTGGGAGATAAAACGGGTCCTGAAGCCCACCCACTATTAAAGTCTCTAGGGATCCAAACTTAGTGGCGTTCTTCACTCTAGTTAGTGCCTGCCAGCCTAGTTGTGGAGGACGTGTGGGTGAGAGGGTGTGTGCACATGAGAAAGAGCATGCCTGCCTGTCTTCTATTTATCTTTATGTATCATCTCTCTCCTATCTATTATCTCTCTCTATCTACTATCTCTCTCTCTACTATATTTATCTATCTATCATCTCTACTACTGGTTTCTCTCTGTCTCTATCATCACTCTACTATCTATCTACTAGTATCTCTCTAACTACAGTATGTATACTATATCTATCGATCATCTATCTCTCTACTATCTATCTCTGTTTCTCTATCATCTATCTCTCTATCTGCCTAATTTTTAAAAGACTATCTATCTATCTATCTATCTATCTATCTATCTATCTATCTATCTATCTATCTATCTGTTTTATCATCCTCTGTCTCTATCATCTCTCTCTCTCTATCAATCTCTGTACATCTATCTATCTATCCCTATCTATCATCTATCTCTAGCTATGTATCTCTTTCTGTCTTATCATCGCTCTGTTTTATCATCCTCTGTCTCTATCATCTATCTCTTTACCAATCTCTGTATCTATCTATCTCTGTATCTATCTATCTATCTATCTATCTATCTATCTATCTATCTATCTATCCCTATCTATCATCTATCTCTAGCTATGTATCTGTCTGTCTTATCATCTATCTATCTATCTATCTATCTATCTATCCCTATCTATCATCTATCTCTAGCTATGTATCTGTCTGTCTTATCATCTATCTATCTATCTTTTATTATCCTCTGTATCATTTCTCTATCTCTCTATCAATCTCTGTACCTCTATCTATCTATCTATCTATCTATCTATCTATCTATCTATCTATCTATCTATCTATCCCTATCTATCATCTATCTCTAGCTATGTATCTCTTTCTGTTTTATCATCTATCTATCTATCTATCTATCTATCTATCTATCTATCTATCTATCTCTCTCTCTCTCTCTCTCTCTATACCTGTCTATCATCTCTCTCTCTCTCTCTCTCTCTCTCTCTCTCTCTCTCTCTCTCTCTCTCTCTCTCTCTCTCTCTCTCTCATCTCTCTCAATTCACTTGTTGCCCTCACCACAACGCAGTCAGCAAAGATACGGAGAGCATTTGTCGTATGGCAGTACACAAGCAGTCATAGAAGGCAGGAGTCATAAGATCCACAGAGGAAATCCTTCAATTCTCCTGGGCCAAACAAGGGAGCAAACGTACCTTCCTTTGCTTCCCCAGAGCCTTGAGTAAAAAGGAGCTGATACTGCTTGTTGGGAAAGTTGACTGGGAAACACTTATTCATCATGGGGCTGAAACGAGATGGGAGAAAGAGGAAGGAAAAGGGAGAAAGAAGGGAAGGAGCCGTCGTTTTAAAAGGCATAACCGACAAACAGCAACTGTATGTAAGGAAAATCAAAATCCCAGAGAAATACGTTTATAAAATTAACTCAAGGAATACCAAATAGTAACAGCAGTATTTTTCAATCTCAGGCACTTTAAGGTGTGGGGACTTCAACTCCCAGAATTCCCAGCCAGCATGCAAATAAACTTTCAGATGGGTGGACTTCAACTCCCAGAATTCCTTAGTCAGCGTGATAAATTGGCCGAGGTGGTGAAACCTGGAAATCTGAAGATTTGCGACAATGCCGTAAGCTTTGAGTTTATTTAGCTATTATTTATTTGTTAAGAAAATGTAAAATCTAAAAGCACTGATATGGAAGCCTAGTTGGCAAAGAAAGAAAGCCAGAACAAGGTTGAAGAAAATTGGGGTTTTGACTTCTTAGAGGGGATTTCATATTATTAATTAGAGGGTTAAAGGGAGAAGTTGAGATAAGGGGAATTCTGGTCGTTAGATTTAAAATACTTGGAAATTAGTTGAAAATAAGGACTTTGTCTGCTTTTAAAAATTAGACCTAAAAGGAAAAAGAAAATTGTTATGAATATGTTTGATTTATTGATTAACCCAGGTAATATAGCTAACGGTTTTTATTTATTAAAGGGGATATTGTATTATTAAGGAGATGAATTAATATGGTGGGAAATAGATCACTCTTAGGAAATAGAACAAGATTACATTCAAATAGATAAAATGTGTATTTTGGATATTATATTTTGTTATGAATTGAGATAAGGGAAATCTTGGTTATCTAAAGCCTAAAAATTATAAATATCAAAGGTTAAATTGGAATATTGATGAGAAACTAAAAACTGGGGAAAAAAAATTAATAACAGGATATGGATTGTTTATGAAGATTGAATGTAATTAAGATATGTATAAGCTAAAAATTTATTGATCAATATAATAATGATGTTTTTACTAAATTAATATAATAAGAACTGTATTAGCTTGAATACGAGACAGTAAATGTTAAAGGAAAAAGAGAAGAAATATCTAATGTTGGAACCTGACATTTGTATTAAAGATTTTGTTATGGAACTATTGATTAACCCAGTCACCGCGTTGCTTTTTAAATACGTAAATGTAAAATTGGAAAATTAATATTATTTAAAAAAAAAGAAAATGTATACGGTTGCCCAAGTCACTGAGGGTGACTCTGGGTTAGCTTAAGAGAAATAAAATCCCAAGTACAGGTAAGTCCTTGACTTACGACCGTGACTGAGCCCAGAATGTATGCCGCTAAGCGAAAAATTTGTTAAATGAGTTTTGTCCCATTTTACGACCTCTCTTGCCACCTTTGTTAAGTGAATCGCTGCAGTTGTTAAATTAGTCACACGGGCGTTAAGTGAAACTGGCCGCCCCATTGACTTTGCTCATCGGAAGGGCGCAAAAGGGGATCGTGTGACCCCGGGACACTACAAACCGTCGTAAATATGAATCAGTGGCCAAACGTCCAAATTTTGATCACGTGACCCTGGGGAGGCTGTAATGGCTGTAAGGCTCAAAAACGGTTCTAAGTCACTTTTTTCAGTGCTGTTGTAACTTTGAATGGTCACTAAACGAACGGTTGTAAGTGGAGGACAACCTATACAAACCCCGTGAAACTCACGTCCTGGTGACATCAAACCAGCCAAATTCCAGATGTTGTGGATGCTCCAATACTGGAAGTTATTAAGAAGAGATTAGACAACCATTTGTCTGAAATGGTGGAGGGCAGGGGTCATCAAACTTGGCCCTTTGATGATTGGTGGACTTCAACTCCCAGAATTCCTGAGCCAGCCTTGCTAAGGGGAAAGGAAGAGGTTTCCAAGCTGAAGCAGGCTAGCTCAGGAATTCTGGGAGTTGAAGTCCACGAATCATGAGGGGGCCATAGTTCTCTCATGCTGGCTCAGGAATTCTGGGAGTTGAAGTCCATGAGTCATGAGGGGGCCATAGTTCCCCCATGCTGGCTCAGGAATTCTGGGAGTTGAAGTCCACAAGCCATGAAGGGGGCCATAGTTCCCCCATGCTGGTTCAGGAATTCTGGGAGCTGAAGTCCACGAGTCACAAAAGAGCCAAGGTTGCCTGCCTGAGCAGGGGATTGAAGACCTCCAAAGTCCCATCCCAACTGTTATTTTATTCTATTCTGTTCTATGCCATGCCATGCCATGCCATGCCATGCCATTTCATATTTTCTATTCTATTCTATTCTATTCCATTCCATATTTTCTTTTCTTTTCTACTCTACTCTAATTTTCTATTTGATTCTAATTTTCTATTCTATTCTATTCCATTCCATATTTTCTATTCTATTCTATTCCATTCCAATCTTTTCTATTCCATCCCATATTTTCTATTCTATTCTATTCTATTCTATTCTATTCTATTCTATTCTATTCTATTCTATTCCATCCCATCCCATCCCATCCCATATTTTCTTTTCTACTCTACTCTACTCTACTCCACTCCACTCCACTCTACCCTACCCTACCCTACTCTACCCTATCCCATCCCATTCCTATTCTATTCTTGATGGGCTCTGTATCACCCGGGGGTCCCCAGCCCCCCTGACAAAACCAGGGCCAAAAGAGTATCACGGAGGGGAGCAATTTTATCTCCACAGGGATGATGCTCCTTAAGCTATGGAGGGATTTAAAAGTGACAACTGGCACCTGGAATTGAGACCTGGAAGCTAATGGGCAGCCAATAAGCCTTGTTTCTGGAGGGATTTTGAAATTCTCCAGAAAAATCAGTGTTAGCCCCCCCCCATAGTTGGTGACATCCCATAGGGGGATGCAAGGCTGCACACCCCAAACTCACTAACCATATAAACAAGACCTCGAAAAATTCAGAATCAGAATAGAGCCGGTGGTCATCTAGTCCAGCCCCCGCTCCAGCAGGAGACCCTATACCATTGCAGACAAGTGACTGTCCAGGCTCTTCTTAAAAATCTCCAGTGGAGGAAGCACCTACAACGTCTGAAGGCAAGATAATCCTCCATTTTCTTTTTTCTTTTTGTATTATATTTTGTATTATTTTTTTTGCAAGCATAAGTCACTCAATAATTGGTAAACAGTGTGTTGTCTGGGTTACATTTGTAAAAACACTCCTTAACAATTGATTTCTATAGCCTGTATTCCATATATTAATTTTAGTTGATTTCTTCTTTCCCCGAAACATCTGTTTTTGCGAACATTGAGTTAATACAATTCTTATTGTTTTAATAAATGACAATTTAGTATATATTTTTTCCAATATTCCTAAAATCCTCCATTTTCTGGTTGTTAAGGCACGGCAATGGGCAAACCAAGCAAGACAGCCTGAGTCTTATTTTGTCACCTGGAGATCAAAATCAAACTTTTTAAAAACTCGCCCGGCTTTTGAGGAGTCTTTTGGTTTTTTTTAAAAGGAAAAGCTGGCCTTAAGGCAGGACAAGACCTGAAGACAGGACAAGAAGCAATGGGTGGAAACTAATCAAGGAGAGAAGCAACCTAGAACTAAGGAGAAACTTCCTGACAGTGAGAACAATTAATCAGTGGAACAGCCTGTCTCCAGAAGCAGTAAATGCTCCAACACTGGAAGTTTTTAAGAAGAGCCTAGACAGCCATTTGTCCGAAATGGTGTAGGGTTTCCTGCCTGAGCAGCGGGTTGGACTAGATGACCTCCAAGGTCCCTTCCAACTTTACTACTATTACTATTACTAAAAGATGGCAGATTTCTCTCCACCTACAGATAAATATTCTTATTTTTTAAAACAAGAGAGGGAGTTCAGCAGCCAGCTGGGTGCCCGTTTCCCATCTGATTAGGCAAGTTAACTATTAAACTTAGAGACTCTGCCAGGATTTTAACCTTTCCTTTATGTGCAATAATAGGCTGGACACCTTTATTTGTAAATGATGAGAGGCCTCCAAGAGGGTTTTTTTGCTTTCATTGACTCCGAAGACTTAAATTTCTGCATTGGTGGAGAAATGAAGGAATAACCAAACCAGGTATAAATAAAAAGGGATATTCCAGGTACAGAAAACTCTACAGCAGGGGTCTTCAGAGTTGGCCCTTTGATGACTTATGGACTTCAACTCCCAGAATTCCTCAGCCAGCCACGCATGCCTGGCTGAGGAATTCTGGGAAGTGAAGTCCAGAAGTCATGAAAGAGCCAAGTTTGAAGACTCCTGGTTTAGGACTACATACCTGTATTACATTCTTTATGAGGGGGAAAAAAGCAGAAATCTTACCCTTCTTCTACATTTAGTGATAATTACCTCTCTTCCAGCCGCGGAGCCACAAAGCAGCCCACAAAAATCTGAACTAGGCCTCTTTTTTTCCAGAATGTTCCTTCAAGATTTCCTCAAAATACTCATACCTGCCGTATATATTCTATAGCAGGGTTCTTGAAACTTGGCCCTTTGATGACTGGTGGACTTCAACTCCCAGAATTCCTCAGCCAGCATGGGGGAACTATGGCCCCCTCATGACTGGTGGACTTCAACTCCCAGAATTCCTGAGCCAGTATGGGGGAACTATGGCCCCCCTCATGACTCGTGGACTTCAACTCCCAGAATTCCTGAGCCAGCATGGCTCAGCTTGGAAACCTCTCCCTTTCCCCTCAGCATGGCTGGCTCAGGAATTCTGGGAGTTGAAGTCCACGAGTCATCAAAGGGCCAACTTTGAAGACCTCTGCTTGTGGACTTCAACTCCCAGAATTCCTCAGCCAGCATGCCTAGCTGAGGAATTCTGGGAGTTAAAGTCCAGAAAGTCATAAAAGGGCCAATTTTGAAGGCCCCTGCTCTACAGGATGTGCATGATACGGATCGTCCTTGACCGTAAGACAGCCTCCCTATCATGATCGTACGTCATGACGGTCCACACACCTTGTAACCAAACCAGTTTTTTTGCAGCCATCGTGAAGTGGATGCAGCGGACATTAAGTGAACCAAAGAGCTGGTTAAAAGTGCCTGTGCGTTTCAATGTATACAGGTAGTCCTCCACTTACGACTCTAATAGAGGCTGCCCGTTAAGGTCCCAAGTCAGGACAGCTGTAAAGTTGAGGCACCCAATTGGGACGAGCTGATTTTGTGACTTGTTTTGTGGAGGCCGTTAAGGCAAGACGGTGGTTGTAAAATGAAGGCCACTGTCGTAAAGCAAATGCTGCAATCGCTAAGGAACCGACAGGGTGTTTCTGCTAAAAACTGGAAGGCCAGGGTTTTTTTGGGGGGGGGGGGAGGAAACGGCCATAAAATGGGATCATGTGACCGCAGTGACATAAATGGGGGGCTGACTGTAGGGCACCTGAAGTGCAAGTAACTACAGGGAGGGGGCTCAGAAATGGGTTATAAGTATCCCCAAGGAGGTCAGTCATAAGTCAGTCAAGTCACATACTTTCCTGCCCGACCAGGGGGTTGGACTAGATGACCTCCAAGGTCCCTTCCAACTTTACTAATATGAACAATATGAACAATAAGTCTCGTGTCCTGTTTATGTTTGTTTATATATGTATGTATGTATGTATGTATGTATATTATAAAGCAAAAGCTTTTCTCTGTTTCGCGTCGCTCGAGACAGTGAGATGGGCCACATATCAATTCGTTAAATAAATTTTTTAAAAAAATCCTGGCATTAACAAGCTTTTCTGATGTTTTGCACTCACAATACATTGTTCACGTTTCTTCACGTTACCTGATGGTGTGGGACAGGGCGAGGATCCCGAGGACGAAGAAATACATGGAGAGCAGCAGGTTGATATATTCTTGAGAGAAGATCTAAGAGGTAAAACAAAAACCAGGAGAGGTGAACTTCCGGTTTCCCAACGACACAAATGACATCATAAAAGGGCATCACCCTTTTTATTTTTGTCATGAGCATAATCAACCAGCCAGCTCATCAAAAGCTCTTTCTTTTTCCATCAGGACATTTTAAAAAACAAACAAAAAAAAAAACATTAGTTATTTGTATCCCTACTTTATTTTTACTTTTTTTACACATAACTCAAGGCAACGAACATCTCCAACACAAATGCTACTAATGAAAGCGCCAAAGCTCCTGTTGAATGAAATAATAGAATAGAATGTAGAATAGAATAGAATAGAAGCTGGAAGGGACCTTGGAGGTCTTCTAGTCCAGCCCCCTGCTCAAGCAGGAGAACCTATACCATCTCTGACAAGTAACTGTCCAGCCTCTTCTTAAAAACTTCCAGTGATGAAGCACCTACAATTTCTGGTGGCAAGCTGTTCCATTGGTTAATTGTCCTCACTGTTATGAATTTTCTCCTTAATTCCAGGTTGCTTCTCTCTTTGGTCAGTTTCCATTTTTCTTACATTTTTTTTGTAAGAGCTTTAGAAAAAAAAAAATCCAAGTTTGCTACTTCGTTTTGATGGCTTTTAAATAATCACAGAAAAAAAAAGAACAAAACGCAGAGATAATCAGGGTAGAAATGCATACACGATCGAAGGAAAATAAGTAAACGTAACAAGGGCATTTAGAAAGGTGACAAAAACACCGTGGAACAAAGAAAAAAATAGTTATAATAATAATCAGTTTCAATTCTATATATCCTTATCTAATGCAAATATTATGCCAGCCATGTATCTATTTATTTCTATTATACTTATATAACTATCATGCTTTGTTTCACTTACGAACGGTGGCAAGCCGGGAGATCGTAAAATGGGGCAAAACTCACTTAACAAATGTTTCTGCTAAGCGACAGAAATTTGGGGCTCAGCTGAGGACTACTGACATAAATTTAAATTTAGTAAATAAATAAAATTAAATAAATATACAGCCAACAGGGATCTGCGCCGACGGGCAAGTCCAAGTCTGATAGATCTCCCAGGTTCCTTTGCTGTTCGGTGCCTCAGTTTAAAAATCCAAATGCCAGCAGCTCCAGGCACAGAACAAACACCCAAGACAAACAAATCGTATTGCAAAGGATATTTCCAATTTGAGTCACGCATTGTGTTTTAACGGGCCGTGACAGCCGCCCCTCACATCAGGTTAACACCCAGGTATTGCAAATGCTATACGTGAGCGTTTCAAAGAAAGAAAAATGTTGTTTTTATTTCCTGTTCTGCAGTTTTTCTCCACCCCACCCCAGTACATTAAATCTAAGATACTAGGGCAGGGGTAGGCAACCTCGGCTCTTTTATGACTGGTGGACTTCAACTCCCAGAATTCCTGAGCCAGCCACACTGAGGGGAAAGGGAGAGGTTTCCAAGCTGAGCCACGCTGGCTCAGGAATTCTGGGAGTTGGAGTCCACCAGTCATGAGGGGGCCATAGTTCCCCCATGCTGGCTCAGGAATTCTGGGAGTTGAAGTCCACCAGTCATGAGGGGGGCCATAGTTCCCCCATGCTGGCTCAGGAATTCTGGGAGTTGAAGTCCACAAGTCATGAGGGGCCACAGTTCCCCCATGCTGGCTTAGGAATTCTGGGAGTTGAAGTCCACGAGTCATGAGGGGGCCATAGTTCCCCCATGCTGGCTCAGGAATTCTGGGAGTTGAAGTCCACCAGTCATGAGGGGCCATAGTTCCCCCGTGCTGGCTCAGGAATTCTGGGAGTTGAAGTCCACCAGTCATGAGGGGGCCATAGTTCCCCCATGCTGCCTCAGAAATTCTAGGAATTGAAGTCCACCAGTCATGAGGGGCCATAGTTCCCCCATGCTGGCTCAGGAATTCTGGGAGTTGAAGTCCACGTATCATGAGGGGGCCATAGTTCCCCGGTGCTGGCTCAGGAATTCTGGGAGTTGGAGTCCACCAGTCATGAGGGGGCCATAGTTCCCCCATGCTGGCTCAGGAATTCTGGGAATTGAAGTCCACGAGTCATGAAGGGGGCCATAGTTCCCCCATGCTGGCTCAGGAATTCTGGGAGTTGAAGTCCACGAGTCGTGAAGGGAGCATAGTTCCCCTGTGCTGGCTCAGGAATTTTGGGAGTTGAAGTCCACGAGTCATAAAAGGACCAAGGTTGCCTACCCCTGGACTGGGGGGGGGGGAAATCTACAAACAAATAATAAAAATAGATTAAGCCACTAGCAAGTCCTATCTTTACGAGGCCTGACAGGTGTTGGTGTATTTACCTCCGTTTCCCTCTGAAAAAAGAAAAATACCTTTGGGTATTCAGAGGACCCTTGAGAAAAAAGCTCACTTCTTCCACAGGAGAACATTTGCTAGGTGGGCAACCTTAAATACATCAGAAACACCACCAGATTTACCTTTTAATAGGGGAGGGGAACTATAGGAAGTGGTGGCTGCAGTTCTCTTGTGGACATTTCGTAACCCAACTACGGAAGATCATCAGTGTTAGAAAGGAGTGGGGCTTGCGAGGAGGAGGAGGAGGAGGAGGAGGAGGAGGAGGAGGAGGAGGAGGACGACGACGACAATGATTCTTGGGTCCTTGGTGCTCTCTGAGTTTGTTTGTTTTCTTCCAGATGTTTCATGACCCATGTTGGTGACATCAACCCCTCTTCCCTTCTACTACTAATGATGTTACCTAGTTGGATCATGAAACGTGTACAAGAAAACCACCCAGCTCAGAGAACCCCAAGGAACCCACGGTTCTCCTCCTCCTACTCCCCTTCGCCTTCACTCTACAAACTCCACAGCTTTAAAAGGCCTTGGTAAGGCCACACTTGGAATACGGCATCCAGTTTTGGTCACCACAATGTAAAAAAGATGTTGAGATTCTAAAAAGAGTGCAGAGAAGAGCAACAAAGATGATCAGGGGACTGGAGGCTGGAACATATAAGGAACTGTTGCTGGAATTGGGTATGTCTAGTTTAACGAAGAGAAGGATGAGGGGGAACATGATAGCAGTCTTCCAGTATCTCAGGGGCTGCCCCAAAGAAGAGGGAGTCAAGCTATTCTCCAGAGTCCCTGAAGGCAGGACAAGAAGCAACGGATGGAAACTCATCAAGGAGAGAAACAATCTAGAGCTAAGGAGAAACTTCCTGACAGTGAGGACAATTAACCAGTGGAACAACCTGCCTCCATAAGCTGTGGATACTCCAACACTGGAAGTTTTTAAGAAGAAACTAGACAGTCATTTGTCTATTCTATTCTATTCTATTCTATTCTATTCTATTCTATTCTATTCTATTCTATTCTATTCTATTCTATTCTATTCTATTCTACTCTATTCCTATTCCTATTCCAATTCCAATACTGGATGTTTTTAAGAAAAGACTGGACAGCCATTTCTCTGAAAGGCTATAGGGTTTTTTGCCTGAGCAGGGGGTTGGACCAGAGGACCTCCAAGGTCCCTTCCAGCTCTTTTATTCTATTCTATTCTTAGTGTGAAAAACGGTCCTTTTTTTCAGGGCTGTCACTTGAACAAATGGTTGCAACGTTAACGGCCACCTGTGCAATACAGCCAGCAACTGTTCCTCATTTCTTGTGGTTATTCTCAGAAGCAGCCTCCAGTCATCTGACTTCCAACAACAGCTTTCTAAGCATCTGGAGTTGCCAAATGTTTGAAAATAAAACATCACCTTGCAGGAAACACAATTTGCCAATTGGAAAGCTTGCTGGCCTGAGGGCGCAGTCCGCAATGCCCAGTTGCCCAGGACTGGCAAATGAGCTGGCAAGGGGGAAACAGCCTGAAATCCAGTTCAGTTCAACATCTCGTGGGGGACATGGCGGGAACCCTCCAAGTATGGCATTGGCTAGAGCAGGGCTAGGCAACCTTGGCTCTTTTGTGACTCGTGGACTTCAACTCCCAGAATTCCTGAGCCAGCCATGCTGAGGGGAAAGGGAGAGGTTTCCAAGCTGAGCCATGCTGGCTCAGGAATTCTGGGAGTTGAAGTCCACGAGTCATGAAAGGGCCAAGTTTGAAGACCCCTGTTTTAAATTTTTTTCCTCACAATCACGTGATCAAAATTCAGGGATTTGGGCAGGGGTAGACAACATTGGCTCTTTTAGGAGTCGTGGACTTCAACTCCCAGAATTCCTGAGCCAGCCACGCTGAGGGGAAAGGCAGAGGTTTCCAAGCTGAGCCATGCTGGCTCAGGAATTCTGGCAGTTGAAGTCCACAAGTTTTAAGTTGCCAACGTTGAGGACCCCTGATATAGGACAGGAGTGGGGAACCTGGGCTCTTTTATGACTTGTGGACTTCAACTCCCAGAATTCCTGAGCCAGCCATGCTGAGGGGAAAGGGAGAGATTTCCAAGCTGAGCCATGCTGGCTCAGGAATTCTGGCAGTTGAAGTCCACGAGTCATAAAAGAGCAAGGTTGCCTATCCCTGGTCTAGAGGTTAAGGCACTGGACTAGAAACCGGGAAATTTTAAATTCTAGTCCACCCTTAGACATGAAAAGCGGCTGGGTGACTTTGGGCCAAGCACCAGGAAACAGTGAGTTCTAGTCCCGCCTTAGGCACGAAAACCAGCTGGGTGACTTTGGACCAATGACCAGGAGACGGTGAGTTCTAATCTCACATTAGGCAAGAAAGCCGGCTAGGTGACTTTGGGCCAATCACCAGGAGACAGTGAGTTCTAGTCCCGCCTTACGCATGAAAGCTGGCTGGGTGACTTTGGGCCAATCACCAGGACAGCGCAATTTCTAGTTCCTGACTGGGGGATTTTGGGAGTTGAAGTCCACCCACCTTCAAATTGCCAAGATGGAGAAACACTGCCTCTTACAGTAAATTGGGAGGACTCAAAATGCTAGTTGCAAATAAATGCCTTCCTAAGAAACAGCCCCGAGGCCTCTTCCCTATATTTACATCACTGATTATAAAATATTGGAATTTTTCCTGTTTGGTTCTGGCATTTTTTCAGGTCTGCCTGAGGAACTACTCTTGAATATTTTATTCTATATCGAAGAGCATCAAACTGCAGAGGGATCGCTTCTGGGCGATCTGCTAATTTGAGGCTAATTCATTTTATAACTAAGTTGCTTTAAAGTTTGCATTTGCTTTTCGTGCAATCCGCCCCTCTGCTTTCACTGCAAATAATCCACCTTCGCTTTGTTGCCAAACCGCAGATCTCTAACACTAAACACCCCGCACAAACTTCTATTTAAAGGCAGGAGTAACCGGTCTGTAATTATCTGTTGCTTTCTTGACCTTTAGCAAACAAAACAGCCGTATTCCGTCTGAATGAAAGCAGCGCCTCCCGTACATGGCAGACCAAACCAGACCCAGCAGTTCAAGACGTGACGTCATGATTGGTCTCCAGAAGCTTCAAATTCCTTTCCAAGAGATGGTTGGAAAAGCTTCTTCCATCTCCAAGAGGAACCACAATCCCTTCCTGGCCACAGGACAAACATATTGGATTAGCTTCCAATTAGAAGAAAACTGAAATATAAAGAGAGAGCAAAAGCCCCACTCCCTTCCAGCACTGATGGCGTTACCTAGTTGGGTCATGAAAGGTTTGCAAGAAAACAACCAAGCTCGGAGAGCACGGAGGACCTCACAGTCTCCTCCTCCTCTCCACAAACCCCATTCCCTTGTAGCACTGATGATGTTACGTAATTTGGTAATGAAATGTCTGTAAGAAAACAGCCAAGGTCAGAGAGTTCCAAGGGCCACACAGTCGTCATCCTCCTCCTCCTCCTCCTCCACACAAACTCTTCTTTCCAGCACTGATAATGTTACCTAGTTGGGTCATGAAACGTCTGCAAGAAAACCACCCAGCTCAGAGAGCACCAAGGACCCTACAGTCTCCCTCCTCCTCCTCCTCCTCTCCACACACCCCACTCTCTTCTAACACTGATGATGTTCCCTAGTTGGATCATGAAATGTCTGCAAGAGAGCAACCCAGCTCAGAGAGCACCAAGGACCCCACGGAAAAAGGCTGTCCCAGCAAAGGGACTTCTGTCGTTTGACTTACTTTGAAAAAGAGATAGAGTCCTAGGAGAGTACAGCTAGCAACGATCGGAAAACGGGCCGCGTCTCGGCTGGTGATGGTTTCTGGCATATCCGAAGCATTCTGGAAGAGAAATTGGTCACGGTTCAATCCACCCACGATGTCGCAGGCAGAATCCAGACTCTTGCGAGGAAGCTCAAAGGACAGCCTACTTCAGGGGTCTCCAAACTGGGCCACTTTAAGACTTGTGGACTTCAACTCCCAGAATCCCTTAGCCATCCCTCAGGGCTGGCTGAGGCATTCTGGGAGTTGGAGTCCCACATGCCTTAAAATTGTCAAGTTTGGGAAACACTGCTGTAACGAGATATGATAGAACATCTGAAGTCACCTTGAGGATCTATTGCAGGTTCTCCAGAGTTGGCAACTTTTAAGACTTGTGGACTTCAGTTCCCACAATTCACGGTTGGCTGGCTGAGGAATTCTGGGAGTTGAAGTCCACAAGGTTTACAGTGGCCCAGTTTGAAGACCACTTGGCCTACTTGATCCACAGCAACTCAACCCCTCCTCATTCCACAGCAGAGGTTGTGGCACAAGGCAAGCCCCGCCAATGGTTGTGGTTGTGGGTTTTTACACCCCTCAGAAGCACTGCTCAAGCAGGCATCCCTCCACAGTGACCGGAGACAAATTCGCCCCTTCCCAGGAAGGCGTCATATGCTAAAACAGTGGTTCTCAACCTGTGGGTCGGGACCCCATTTGGAGTCGAATGACCATTTCACGGGGGTCGCCAAACAACGCAGTCCGCCATTTTTTTCCCCCTTTTCCTTAGCTGTGCTGCTCCCTTTTATTCTATTGGCTTTTGAAAGCCAATAGAAGAGACTCTCTTGAATAGAGTCTAATTCTATTGGCTTTCAAAAGCCAATAGGAATTGTCCAGGCTGTCTTTGCCCTGCTGAGCCCACCAAAAGTCCCAGTCTGCAAACGGTGCTGCAAGTTGTCTGCAGTAAAGGCGAGCTGTCTGGAAGCTTCCACCTCTCCCTGCTGAGCAACTACTAAAAATGTAAGTAGAAGAGGGCCAGGGCTGGGAGGCCGGCGGGTGCAGGGAGGGTTGCTGGCGCGCGTGGAGCCCAGTGGATGCCTTACCTCTCTTGGGATGGGCCAGCTGATGGCCCAGCTGGTGGTCGGCCTGCGCCTCCTCTGCCGCTTGCCAGCTACGCCTCGGCTGGCGCAGGGGCAGCACCACGCATGCGCGGCGCTCCCGGGCAGGGAAAGTCCTCGACTTACAACCGGTTGGGTAATCCTCGACTTACGACCGGTTGGGTAGTCCTTGACTTACGACTAGTTGGGGGTCGCGGCATTAAAAAGGTTGAGAACCACTGTTCTACAAGCAACACAGCTGTTTTAATTTTCTTCTTTTTTTGATTTAGTCTGAAGGACGCTCCTGCTAAATATCCCTTTTGTGACATGGAGCCCTTGGCTGGCTCGTGGGACAACTTTGAATCCTTTTGACTTTTTTCTCCCCCACCTCAAAACGAATTTTTTTTTTTAAAACAAAACAACAACTCTACAGTTGCAGCCTTTTTCAGTCCGGTGCAGATGTTTTGAATCACAGTTTCCATTCTCCCTGCCCATATGGCTATTCTGACCGAGTCCGGTTGCAAACTGCAATCCAAAATATTTAGAGGAATGTCTGTTCGGAAAAGGTTCCCCAGTTTTGTTTTGTTTTTTAAAAAAATCCGGTTTAAATCAGACTGGAAAGCAACCTGTGGAAAATTTTTAGAATTCTGCTCCGAAAATCAAAGGCGAAGTTGGAGATGGGGTGGGGCGAGAGAAATTTATAGACTCCAGATGTTGACGAATTACAACATGCTTTACCCAGAAGCCTCGCTGGCTGAGAAATGTAGTTCAGCCACATATGAAGGAGGAACAAAGATTCCTCATCAGTGGAATGCAGACGTTATTATACGATGAAAGCAAAAAAGGTGATTCGGAAAATAAGCACAGGCACTCCTTGACTTACGACAACTGAGCCCAGCACTTCTACTGGCAAGAAAAATCAAATGTACAGGTACAGTATAGGGGGCACCTTGCTCAATAGTAGTAACTGTGAGAGGGACCTCAGAATCCTAGTGGACAATCTCTTAAATAAGAGCCAGCCGTGTGCTGCAGCTGCCAAAAAGGCCAACACAGTGCTGGGCTGCATTAACAGAGGGATAGAATCAAGATCACGTGAAGTATTAATACCACTTTACAAAGTCTTGGTAAGGCCACACTTGGAATACTGCATCCAGTTTTGGTCACCACGATGTAGAAAAGATGCTGAGACTCTAAAAAGAGTGCAGAGAAGAGCAACAAAGATGATCAGGGGACTGGAGGCTAAAACATATAAGGAAGGTTTACTGGAATTCGGAATGTCTAGTTTAATGAAGAGAAGGACGAGGGGGGGCATGATAGCAGCCTTCCAGTATCTCAGGGGCTGCCCCAAAGAGGGAGTCAAGCTATTCTCCAAAGCGCCTGAAGGCAGGACAAGAAGCAACAGATGGAAACTCATCAAGGAGAGAAGCAACCTAGAACTAAGGAGAAACTTCCTGACAGTTAGAACAATTAACCAGTGGAACAACCTGCCTCCAGAAACGGTGAATGCTCCAACACTGGAAGTTTTCTTAAGAAGAGACTGGACAGCCATTTGTCTGAAATGGTCTAGGGTTTCCTGCCTGAGCAGGGGGTTGGACTAGATGATCTCCAAGGTCCCTTCCAACTTTATTATTATTATTATATCATCATCATTATTACCACTACTACTACTACTACTACTTCCGTTGGCTAATCAAGGCAGTTCTTAAGCGATTTTTGCCCCTTTTTGCAACTTTTGCTGCCATGATTGTTAAAAGAATTGCTGCAGTTGTTAAATTAGTAACACAGTCAGTAAAGGAATCCGGCATCCCCCATTGGCTTTGCTTGTCGGAAGGTCGCAAAAGGGGATCACATGACCCCCCCCGGGGCACTGGCAACCATTGTAAGTATGAATCAGTCACCCAGTGGCTGAATTTTGATCACGTGACCAAGGGGATGCTGCAATGGTCATTAAGCGTGAAAACCAGTCATGTCCATTTTTTTTCCAGTTCTGTTGTAACTTTGAATGGTCACTAAACAAACAGTTGTAAGACAAGGACTATCGGTGACAACTGTGGATTCCTGAAATAGACTTGTTCATCCAAGCCACTGGTTCTAGTGGATTGTTCTGTCAGGAACTTTCTCCTTAGTTCCAGGTTGCTTCTCTCCTTGATAAATTTCCACCTGTTGTTTCTTGTCCTGCTTTCAGATGCTTTGGAGAATAGGTGGACCCCCTCTTTTTTGGGGCAGCTCCTCAAATATTGAATCACTGCTATCCTGTCACCCCTGGTCTTTCTTTTCTCTAGACTGGCCAGACCCAATTCCTGCAACCGTTCTTCATTATGTTTTAGCCTCCAGACCCCTGATCATCTTTGTCGCTCTTCTCTGCACTTTTTCCAGTGCAACTACAGGAGACAAGCTATTCCACTGATTGTTTTTGTCAGGAAGTTTCTCCTTAGTTCTAGGTTGCTTCTTTCCTTAATGAGTTTCCATCCGTTGCTTCTTGTCTTTGCCTTCAGGCGTTTTGGAAAATAGCTTGACTCCCTCTTCTTTGGGGCAGCCCCTCAAATATTGGTATACTGCTGTTATGTCACTCCCCCCCCCACTAGTCCAGGGGTAGGCAATCTTGGCTCTTTTATGACTCATGGACTTCAACTCCCAGAATTCCTGAGCCAGCGTGGCTCAGCTTGGAAACCTCTCCCTTTCCACTCAGCATGGCTGGCTCAGGAATTCTGGGAGTTGAAGTCCACGATTCATAAAAGAGCCAAGGCTGCCTACTCCTGCCCAAATGCCTGAATTTTGATCACGTGATCGTGAGGAAAAAATATTTAAATGTTTAAACCAGGGGTCTTCAAACTTAGCCCCCTCATGACTAGTGGACTTCAACTCCCAGAATTCCTGAGCCAGCATGGGGGAACTATGGCCCCTTCATGACTTGTGGACTTCAACTCCCAGAATTCCTGAGCCAGCATGGGGGAACTATGGCCCCCTCATGACTCGTGGACTTCAACTCCCAGAATTCCTGAGCCAGCATGGCTCAGCTTGGAACCTCTCCCTTTCCCCTCAGCATGGCTGGCTGAGGAATTCTGGGAGTTGAAGTCCACGAGTCATAAAAGAGGCAAGGTTGCCTACCCCTGCCCTAGTCCTTCTTTTCATTAAAGTAGACATAGCCAGTTCCAGCAACTGTCCTTCATATGTTTTAACCTCCAGCTTCCTCTTCATCTTTGTTGCTCTCCTCTGGACTCTTTCTAAAAGAGTTTCAAAAGCTTTTTTTTATACTGTGGTAATCAGAACTGGATGCAAGATTTCAAAGTATTTGCGCATCCCAAAGTACTTGCAAAGGATCTGGGTGATCCCCTCTTAAAAGCTTTAACCACAATGGATTAAAACCACACTGAGGGATTCAGACGCCAGCAGACACCAGCAGCTGTTAGAACCCACACTTCAAATATGGTGCAGAAATAATAGAATTATAGGCTGAAACTGGACAGCTGCTGCAAACGTCAGCAGCTGAATCCAGAATGAGCACATCCTATGCAAATCCAGACCTTCTGCAAGGGTCAATGCATCCTCCCTGACACTCATTTAGCCATAATTTCCAGCAAAGGAAGCAGCTGAAGTCTGTTAGAGGTGGGACGTCTTCCTCATTCGGCCCTCTTGGCTACTAACACGTCAGTGCTTTGCCTAGTTTGGCTCACACACGTGAAGAATGCTCACGGTACACATTCAAGAAGGGGAAGGAAAAAATATTGGGGGGAACTAGATCCACCCCGCCATCAAAAATCTTGGCTTCTTTAAGGGGGAGTGAGGCAAGAGGGGAGGGAGGAGAAAGAAAGAAAGAAAGAAAGAAAGAGAGAGAGAGAGAGAGAGAGAGAGAGAGAGAGAAAGAAAGAAAGAAAGAAAGAAAGAAGGAGTGTAAAAGAAAGAGGGAGAGGAAAGAGAAAGGGAACAAAAGAAAGAAAGAGAATGGAGGGAGGGAGGGAAGGGGGAGGAAAGAAAGAAAGAAAGAAAGAGAGAGAGAGAGAGAGGGAGGGAGGGAGGGAGGAAGGAAGGAAGGAAGGAAGGAAAAAAGAGAAAGGGAGGGAGGGAAGACAGAGTAAGGGAGGGAGGAAGGAAGGAAAAAAGAGAAAGGGAGGGAGGGAAGACAGAAAAAAAGAAAAAAGAAAGGAGGGAGGGAAGGAGGGAGGAAAAAAGAAAGAGGGAGAGAAAAAAGAAAGAGAAAGGGAGGACTGGAAGAAAAGAAAGAAAGAATGGAGGGAGGGAAGGAAGGAAGGAAGGGAAGGAAGGAAGGGGAGAAAAAAGAGAAAAAAAGAAAGAAGGAAAGAAAGAGGAAGGAAGAAAAAGAGAAAGGGAGGGAAGAAAGATGAAAGAAAGAAAGAAAGAAAGAAAGAAAGAAAGAAAGAAAGAAAGAAAGAAAGAGAGAGGGAGGGAGGGAGGGAGGAAGGAAGGAAAAAAGAAAGGGAAGAAGGGTAAAAAAGAAAGAATGGAGGGAGGGAGGGAGGGAGGGAGGAAGGAAAGAAAGGAGGGGAGGGAAGAAAGAAAGAAAGAAAGAAAGAAAGAAAGAAAGAAAGAAAGGAGGGAGGAAGGAAGGAAGGAAGGAAAAAAGAAAGGGAGAGAAGAAAGAAATGGAAGAAAGAATAGGAGGGAAGGAAGGGGGGAGGAAGGAAAGAAAGGAGGGAAGAAAGAAAGAAAGAAAGAAAGAAAGAAAGAAAGAAAGAAAGAAAGAAAGAAAGAAAGAAAGAGAAAGAACCACATGTAGAGGAATCTTTGGAAGAGGGAAGAGACTATATTCTAAATTCCATCATTTAAAAATTTTAAACCCTAATTAAATTTTTATCCATTGCTTGATTTATCTGTTGTTACATTAGTAAAGTCCCTTTTTGAGGGAGACAGGCGGTTTAGAAATACGAAATATAAAGAGGCGAAGAAGCAGAAACCAAACAGGAAAAAAAGGCAAACATTTGTGGGTCTCCCCCCCCCATGCAAAGCGAGAACAAGAGGGGGGGCATATACCTTTACTCACCTGTTGGCACAATCCTTTGCATTAATCCTGGGAATCAGCTGATCTTTCACACACACCCCAGGCCAGAAAAAGGCCAGCGGGGGGGGGGCAGACAAGGCACACCCCATTTCTATACATGGTGCCCCCTTTTCCCCCCTCCCCATCCTTGTTGGATCCCAGGCAGCAGACAAGACTGCTGGGATAGATGGGCAGATCCAGCCAAGGGGGAAGCCAGGAGGGAGAAAAAGACCCCACCCCCAAATAAGAGTGACTACAGATAGTCCCCGACTTACATCCACAATGGAACCCAATTTCTGTCGCTAAGCGAGGCGTTTTAAGCTAAATTTTGCCCCATTTTACATGTTCGGCAAATCGCTGCCATCGTTAAGAGAGTCACACCGTCGTTAAGCGAATCCTGTTTTCCCCATTCCCAACTCTGCCCGTCAGAAAGTGGCAAAAGGGGAATCGCACAATCCCGGGCCACAGCAAACCATCTTCAACGGGAGTCGGTTTGCCCTACTGTGCAACACGTTCACCGAATCACTGCCGCTAAGCGAGTCACCCAGTCGTTAAGCGAATCCGGTTCTCCCCATTCCCGACTCGTCAGGAGGCGGCAAAGGGGGAAATCACACAACCCCGGGAGACAGCCTCAAGGGGAATCAGTGGGCCCAGCTTGTTGATTATGATCAATGCTAATTTATAAAGGATAACATTCTGATCAATATGACCGATGTTCAGTGTGAAAGACGGTCACTTTTTTTCAGTGCCCGTTGTAACTTTGAACCGGTCACTAAATGAAATGGTTGTAAGTCGAGGATTAGCTGTATAGGGATGCTTTTGTCAAAAGCGTGGCCCTTTTAAGAAGGGGTGGACTTCAAGTCCCAGAATTCCCCAGCCAGCTTTGCTGGCTGGGGAATTCTGGGACTTGAAGTCCACCCCTTCTTAAAAGGGCCACGTTTAACTATAGGGAATGAAGACCCCCCTCTTCTAGGATGCCCAACTAAGGTAGACTGACCCCGCCTGGGGAGGCTCTCCTCCTGCTCACCTTCCCTTTGGCGCAAGTGACGGAGCGCAGCGCCCCGAAGAAGATGGGCAGCAGGGCCATGACCACCAGGCTGCCGTAGGCCAGCGCCATGCCCTCGGCGGTGGCCGGGGGCCGCGTGCCGGCCGTGGGGGCTTCGGCCGCCCCGCTGCCGTTGTGCGCCTCGGCCTGCTCCATCGCCGCCAATGCCCGACGCAGCCCGCACTTCCGACCCGGCAGAGGCGGCCCCGCAGCGCCCAGGGACACGTTCCCTTACCCGGGCGGAAGTGGGGCGCAGCGCATGCGCGGGCGCCGCCACGCCCCCTGGAGACGACGGCGGCCTGGTCCGTTGCTAGGGAGAACCAACCGCCGCCGCCTGGCCTAAAATGGGGATCCCCCCCCAATTTCCTAGCACCGCCATCGGGACCCCCTTTGCGCCCTGAAAGGACAAGGGCCTTTCCTCCCGCCCCGCTCCCCCCCCAGATGCATTCTCACGTAACGATGGTGAGACCCGTGTCAGGAGCTGGCAAAGGCTGCTGATGCTGGTATGATTACTACCAACGTGTGATTTGCTTCATATGCTCTTAATGGTGTGATTATTATTGCCGGGTCGGTGCTGTTGCAGCAATTGTTATTTCTATAATTGCTGCCATTATTGTTGCTATTATTGCAGATTATTTGTATTACTGCTGCAATTGTTGCTATTAGTGCAGTTGTTATTTCTATTACTGCTGCAGTTGCTGCCATTACTGCTGTGCTTGTTGCTGTTATTGCAGATTATTTTTTATTACGGCTGCAATTGTTGCTATTACTGCGGTAATGTTGCTCTTGTTGCAGATTATTTTTATTACTGCTGTAAATGTTGCTATTGCTGCTGTGATTATTGTTGCTATTGCAGTTATTTTTATTACTGCTGCAATTATTGCTACCGCTGCTGTGATTATTGTTGCTCTTATTGCAGTTATTATTTGTATTACTGCTGCAATTATTGCTATTGCTGCTGTGATTATTGTTGCTATTATTGCAGTTATTTTTATTATTGCTGCAATTATTGCTATTGCTGCTGTGATTATTGTTGCTATTATTGCAGTTATTTTTATTACTGCTGCAATTATTGCTATTGCTGCTGTGATTATTGTTGCTATTATTGCAGTGATTATTATTTCTATCATTTCTGCCATTGCTATTGCTGTTACTGCTCTGATTATTGCTATCGCTGCAGTTGTTATTTCTATTATTGCTGCTATTCTTATTTGCTGTGATTATTTATATTGCTGCTGTTATTGCTATTACTTTTATTCATTGTATTTATTTATTCAGTTTCTATAGCTGCCCAACTCAACCGAGTGACTCTGAGACTGCTGTCATTGTTACTGGAGTTATTATTTGTATTATTGTTGTGATTATTATTACTTTCACTGCTGTGGTTGATATTGCTATTACTGCTGTGATTGTTGCTGTTACTGCAGTATTTTAATTGTTGCTGCGGTTATTATTACTGAGGTTCTTGGTGCCTTCTGAGTTTGTTGCTCTTTCCTTGCAGACATTTCATTACCAAACTAGGTAACATCATCAGTGCAATGACGACGTTACCTAGTTTAGGTTAATGTGGGAAAGAAATAGAATAACATAGAATAAAGAAGAATAAAGTATAATAATAATAATAATAATAATAATAATAATAATAATAATAATGAAAAATCACTAAAAGCAAAAATCATGTGTCTGCATAATCTCTGAAAGAAAGCTGTGTTAGCCAAAAGCTGTATTAACAGTACGTGAATGACCTAATGCATATTTAGAAACATTGTTTAAAAGTAAAAACTGCCTTCATTGTATTCCCATGAGAAATGGAGCTAACGTGTGAGAAACTATCTGGATGTTACACAAAGTAGATCCCATATACAATGTAAGGTTCCATCTATGCCTCCTTTGTTCCTGAGAAAAAGAAACCTATAAAGCTTTAGTTTAGACCCTCCCCCTTGTTCAGAAATTTGTTGATTGTTAAATCACTTCTGAACCTTTTGCGCAAAAATAAAAATTTCTCTTTCACCCTTGGAATTTCGTAAAAGTCCTTTATTTTTTTAAGGCTTTATTTTTCCACAAGATTTATGGCGAATTCTCCGCCGGGACATTTTTAAGAGCTTTTAAGAAAAGGGATTTAACCTTCCAAGGCGGACTGCCCTGGTGGGGCCCCCTCTCCTAAACGACTACAGCTCCAAAAGCCGGCTCGGTAGCTCTTGACTACGGGGAGACCTCGACTGGGAGGAAAGGGAATTAACCCATCAACAAAGCATTCCTGTCTAAGGATCCGTGAGGGTGACAGATAGGTCTTAAATCAACAAAGGAGTCTGGAAAACGCCTGCAGGCAAGTATTGTAAAACAGGGAAAAAACCTGATCCCTTTTGGATGGGAAGAAGGGATTGATCACCCCTTAGAAGGCAAAGGTGTCGTCCTTAAGCCTTCAATAGGCAGGATTGTGTGGGAGGTTAAACCATTGTAGCTCATGCTTGAGTGATCGATGGTAGTGTATTAGAGAGATGGGTGGGAAAAAGTCAAAGAAGAGCGTTGACCAGACGCCACTCCAGTGCATGTTAAAGAATTTCAAAAAAAGTTTTTCTAGGGATTATGGAGATCCAAAACCAAATCCAGCCATGTTAAAAAGATTCTGTGAAACTGAGTGGACTGCCCTGGGCGCAGAGTGGCCAAAAATGGGATCGGTGAATCCCAAACTTGTTGCACGGGTTCATCAAATTGTGACTGGAAATGGTTATTGGGACCAGTATCCCTATATTGAAAATCAATATATGGAAAATCAACATTGCACAGAGACCCAGATGATTAGCAAAATGTCAGATAGAATGTGCAAAGATATATTTGGCAAGCCCAAAAGCCAAGCCAAAAAACAAAAGCTAAGATTTTCAGCCAGGAAGATAGGGAGGAAATTGCCAGACCACCCCCCTATGTTCCTAGAAGAGAAGAAGGGAGAATAAATCAGCAAATTCCACCCCCTCTGCCTGAAAGAGAAGCCCAATTTCATCCAGAAGCCAGTGAGGAAGGAACATTAGCAACAGCTGGATCCCTTCAAGAAACAGATAAAAGCTTGAATAACTTTGAAGAAAACAAAACAGTTTCTAGCCCAACCAGAAGCAAGTTAGAAATAAAAACAGAAGAAAATATAGCCCCTCTAAGAGAGGTGTTGGTCTCTGGACCAGATAACACTAATATTTCAATGCTTCAATATGTTCCGCAACCGTGACAGGGAGGAGGAACGCAAATCAGATCAAAAAGAAAAAAAAGAAAGTTGAAATGTTAGCCGTGGCATTGGGAGGAACATGCCTAGGACCCAATCAGTGTGCCATCTGTAAACAAGAAGGACACTGGCAAAGGGAGTGCCCCCAGAGGAATGGCCAACCCAGGGGACAATCTCGCCAGTATGGAAGAGGAAGAGGATTTAGAGGGACTTTCCAGAGAGGCTTCAGAAAGAGCTTCAAAGGAAGAGGGCATCCAGTTTATCCCAATCAGACAGAGGAAAGAGAAGAAAACATGATCGGCTTAGCTGACATGGAATGGGAAGACTGAAGAGGACAGGGTTCTATCGCCCACCCCCAGAGCCCATTGTTAAAATAAGGGTGGGAGGACAGGTTGTCCCGATGCTAGTTGACACAGGAGCCACCAGATCTGTCCTAAATAAATCCATTGGCAAACAATCAAATCCTTGTGGTAGCTGTATATTTAAAAATTCGCCAACGTGCTTTAGTCAAGCCCTAGCCCAAGATCTTGCTTATCTGAAGTTATTCAGACAAGAGGATTGTTGCCTTCAATATGTCGATGATGTCTTAATAACTGGCCAAAGCAGGGAGGATTGCTTTGAAAACACATCCAGACTGCTCCAATTGTTACAAGACTGTGGTTATTTGTTGTTAATTGCAAAGTCGTGTCCGACCCATCGCGACCCCATGGACAACGTTCCTCCAGGTCTTCCTGTCCTCTACCATCTTCTGGAGTCCATTTAAATTCACACCTACTGCTTCAGTGACTGTGGTTATAGAGCATCCAAAAAGAAAGCACAATTAGTTCAAGAGACTGTAATGTATTTAGGCTATGAACTTTCACAAGGACAAAGAACTTTGGGCCCCCAGAGAAAGCAAGCTGTGTTACAGATTCCCATCCCACAAACAAAACAGGAAGTTAGAGCCTTTTGGGGAATTACAGGCTTCTGTAGAATTTGGATTCCTAACTTCGCTCTCACAGCTAAACCATTGTACCAAGCTTTAAGGGGACCAGAAAAAGAACCTCTTTTGTGGCAAGAGGAACAAACCCAAGCGATGAGACAATTGCAACAGGCTCTCACCACAGCCCCCGCCCTAGGACTACCTGATATATCTAAGCCATTTTCACTGTAAGACAAAATGTAGCTTTAGGGGTCCTTACCCAAAAGCAGGGAAGTTGGAATCGCCCTGTCGCTTATCTGTCAAAACACCTGGACATTTTTTCACAAGGCTGGCCCCAATGTTTAAAAATTCTAGCAGCAGTTATGCTATTACTGCAGGAGGCAAACAAGTTAACCTTTTCAGCTCCAGTGACTGTTTATACTAGTCATGCCTTGCAGACAATCATTGACAATAAAGGACATTTATGGATAAGTAATCAACGAATGCATAAAATACAGGCTCTTTTATTAGAAAATCCACAAGTTACATTGCAACAATGCTCAACTTTAAACCCAGCAACTTTAATGCCAATTCCTGATTCAACCAAACCTGTTCATGACTGCATGCAAACAATAGAACTACAATATTCTTGCAGATCTGACCTTACAGACCAACCCTTGCATAATCCAGACTATCAATGGTTTACTGATGGTTCTAGCTTTATGGATAAAGGATGTAGATACTCTGGTTACGCAATAGTTTCTCAAACTTCTACTGTTGAGTCAGCACAGTTGCCTAGTCAAGCCAGGAGATAGAGTATGGGTAAAGCACTGGAAATCAGATCCCTTGAGCCCAAGATGGAAAGGACCGTATACTGCTGTCATGTGTTCTCCTTTGGCAGTGAAAACCTTGGAAGGAAAGTCTTGGATCCATTGGAGTAGAGTGAAAGCAGCTGCACCTGCAGATCCGGTGATCTACAAGGTAGACAAGACTGACAAGCCTTTGGTGTTGAAATTTACAAGAAATACAGCAACAGGTTCCCAAGACACGGTGTGATCAACAACCTTGCTGAGACACCCCAGGAAGCTGTCTCTCTACGCACGGTGGAAGATATGAGGATTCTAC